AAAAAATCCCTTTGGCCAAAATGTCAGACCAAAAAATCCTTTGGACCCCCGTCATTAAAATATGTGAGTGGGGCCCTGAGTGGTGAATACAGCTCTTCAACAGATATCTTTCCATCATAATGAAACAATTCTCTTCATCGAATTATCATTAACGTATTGTCTTAACAGTTAAATGACTAGAACGCCAAAGAGCAATGTGATCAAACATTTTTAATTAAAAGCAAAAGAGAAATAGCGAAGAATTACAATTTCTAATCAAATCTTTGCTTATATTTTAGAATAAAATATTCTCGAAACTGAGAATGGTTTGATCTGAGCTGCTTTAAAATCGAACTGCATGAATCACTGCATGAAACTTTTTATTTTGTGTTCTTATCTATGTAAGCAAAATGTGTGAAAGTATCCATCATGAATCTACGTTTTTTAAAGAGTTACACAAACAAGAAAACTATTGACCGACCACGATACATACAGAGCGGCGGTAGCTGTAGTGCCAACTATTGATAGATAAAGTATGAAGGAGTGCTGCCATATATTTATTTGTTATGGTCTACAGTTCAAGGTTGCTTTTTGATTTCCATAAATGGAAATCGGCTCATCCTCGGTGTAAGAACCTGTTAAACTCACAAGTGACGTAAAACTGAGGAAACAAAGAAGTCAATGCAATAGAACGCAGAAAAACAATAGGTGCGAAACAAAGAAAAAGTTCACAGGTTCTTACACCGAGGTAAACCCTGGAAATCGACAGATTAGACGCCTTACACTACAACATGAAAAATTACTGCAATTTGATTGGCTTAGAGCGCTGGTATTTCACCTTAATTTGAAATACTTACATGTGAAAATTACAAACCTTTTGCAGGTAGTAGTATAAACAAATAACAGCACGATTTGTACGAGATATTTGGCATAAATACAACTCGTTATATTTCAAAATTGTTTCAAATTTGAAATTACGTATAGCAATTTCGAAATATCACTCGTGGTATTTACGCCAAATATCACTACAAATCATGCTAGTACAAAAACAAAACTCTTCATGTCATTTAAATGTCGTGGTAGCTTGCCCTCGATCATGGAAAAAAGAACATGTTCCCTTTTTAACGATGATCAACTCAGTAGTATAATAAATATGTTAGCTTCCTCGTGAATAATACGCTTTTTTCATTCCAGAAAATCTGAGGAAGTGTTAAAAAGTTGAACTAGAAATCATATGAGCTTACCCCTAATACATGAAAAGGTGAAAAGGGGTGCCATAACAGAAAACAAACAGAAAGATCTTACCAAATCTTCATCCACTTTGCTGGTTGAGGAAGAAGCACCTTCTTTGCTCTTTTTTATTTTTCTCTCCCCGTTATCTCTAAAATCTCTCTTTACGGGAGAACGTTTTGGCATGGTACAACAGTACCTACAACGACGGTTTGACAACTGACAAGCGATCGACCAAGCGAGCGGCAAACAACGCAGCAAGTACGTCATGTAAGGTCACCTATTGACCAATAAAAACGCGGGCTCGAGTATTGGAGGGTCAATTTTTGGCCCTCTATTACAATCTTCCCCATGGTAAAGTACCCCCTTTTTGAACGCTTTTATAGCTCCGAGAGCGGGTGAAACATTCATTCACGAGGCTTATTAATTCATGTCAGTGTCATTTTCTACATATCTATGTATATATGTATGTCTGTATTTACAACTGCCTTTGGATCATATTAATTCCGTCGCTTTGGAGCGAATTGTTCGAGGTACGTTGGCAGAGCTTAGCAAAAACCTCATGATTTCTTTGTCATTGAGAAATAATTGAATATAATTTTATCAAAAAGAAGAAGCTGCAGTGTGTGAATCTTATGGCTTGCTATTTGCCTGGTCTCCTTTTGGGCATTATCTCAGAGAGCTTTTGGTAAAAAAGTGGTATAAAGCGTACATTTTACTAGGTTAAACTTTTAAGGCAATGTTTGTGTCATGACTGAACACGGCAAGCTTCTGTTTCGAATAATTAAATTCGAGTCTGGATCCGTTTAAGAAGACCATCACTTTATTTATTTATGTATTCTTCAACTTTAAAATATTATGGAACATAAAGTTAAAACTCTTAACAGCCAAAGATAAGAAATACGAAATTACTCGCTGAAATGATATGTGTCCTGCTTACCAAGTCTGCCGAGTAACAAGTTGAAATTTGAGCGTACTCCACTCGATCGCTCCTGCATTCATACTAAAATTAGTAGTTCTAATTGATGTCCTTCATCGATAAAGACCAGAGAATAACGTCCTGGCAAAGAAAAACCAAACATAACTTCTTCGAAACCTCAGTCACCTGTTCTTTCCTGTCTTCCTTTTTTCCATCTCGACTTGAACTGTTTTGTTCAACGGCAGACGTCTCTTGCGTTAACAAGTAGGCCATATATCTGTCGCTTATTTTTTTTTTCTTGCCACCAAGATTTGTTTATATTTCTGTTTCACCGAATTGCAGTTAGCTGGCTTTCGTACTCGGTTTCAATGTGAAGTTTGGGCCAACATGTTTGCCGCTTTTCTCCAGCCATCGTCCACTTGTCGAGCTTCTGATGCTCAGGAAACTTACAAAATCATCCTGTTTCCTTGAAGATATACGCGTCCCTTTTGATTGCAAACAGCAAATCATTACTTGACATTAACAGCAGAAGACATCCGACGTAACTGTATTTAAAAAGAAGTCCGTACAAAGTTAGTTTAGGTGGAATCCATGCTAAACACTCTGCGAGTTTCACTGAAAGTCTTCATTTGCAATTTTTGTTTATCCTCCAACGCCTCGCTTTCATGACTAGGCACCAGTTTTTTCCCGCGTATCCGCCATTTGTGACTGTGTAATGTGAAAGCCTTTGATTCTATCGTTAGTCGATTCCTAGAATCTTAAAACAACACGTAGCAGTTGATTTTAACCGACCAACCAGAAGATCTTTACTTGACCCTACTGGGCTCAGTTGCTAAGTTTCCATGACCTAAACTAGACAAGACTATCATAATAATGCATTCAGGAAGCACTCTGTCAGTTAACCTTCAGAGATGAAGTAACTTGGGGCGGATCTAGAGGAAGGGTGCAGGGGTGCACCCCCCCCTGAGATGACTTGCGGTTTTGCAAAAAAAAAAACTATGTGGTTTATTGGTGTTGAAGTAGAGCAAGAGACGAGTGCACCCCCTCCTAAAAAAAAATCCTGGATCCGCCCTTGAACATGTTAAATTCTGCCAACGAAAAACTCTTTTCGTAAGGTCTCCAAGTTTTAAAACAAGCAAAAAAATCAAAAAGGTTTTGACTGTCCCACTCGGTATTCTTGAGCAAACTGACTACATCCTCAAAGGTTGTCAGACTGTCACGTGATAAACGTGATATGGATGATGACGTCTGATGGCCTGCTGTTTATGTAGCAAATAAACAGACACCGTTGCCCAATCGAGGACTGTGAACTACCCGTTATCTTTTCTCTCTTGATGTCAAGTGACTCATTTTCTCTCTTGTTACAAGTTAATCACCTGACCACTCTGAAAATTGTCAGTTTGCTGATGAGACTGTGTGTAAGAAAGTCGAAACCTTTGCTTTTTAAAAAAATATCATTAGGTTCTGCAAGAGTCCTCGTGAAAAGAGTTTTTGCATCCATTTATGTCAGGACTTATTATCACTTATTTTCGCGGGACTTTAATTACGCGAATTTGCAGTAGGAATATTTCGCGGGACTTAAATTTCGCGATTTTGACGCATCACCGTTTTTCAAGGTACTTAAGTTTCTCGAATCAAGTACACTGATGCTCGTTTTTTAAACTTCCATTTGGGCATCAGTATTTAACGATAACGGAATAGAAACGCAACAAGCAAATGGCTGAAATGTTCAATTAACTCGATGGCACTGCTAATTAGCTTTTAGATAACGATCGCCTCAATGTTTTGATATTCCCGCTTTGCTCTATCCTTTTGCAATATGCCTCCGCTTTCCCACACTGCCTGCCGGCATGTAAGGGCTTCAGCACAGATAGCCTCAATATCATCAGTGCTGTTTTCCGCCCTCCATTTGTCGTTTGTTTCTACTGCCTTCGGCCGAATACCAAGTTGTAAACATATCTGCGCTTTATGAAGGATTAGGGAAGGATATATTTTGATGGCAAATTTGAAAACTTATATCAAATGTAATGGGTCTTTTCGTACCATTGCATGCAGAAGGAGGTTACTTAGTTCATTTGCTAAAAGTACGAGCCAAAGCGTTGTTGGTTCTATATCATTTTTTGTTCAATATGAAGATAGTAACCATGCGATGCAGCCGTTGCCATAGTGGCTCTTGCAAAATTATACAAAAAAAAAACGTTTCGTACAGGCTTCATATCAGGCTACCTAATAATCGACCCTGAAAAACTGTACGCAGACTGAAGGTCAAGGAGTTGGTTAATTACCTCAGCTTTTAATTAATATAATTTCTTTAACATGTTTAAACGAAGAACCGTGTGGTTTGAAGACAAACTTATCTGTTGACAAAATTAAAAGCGGCGCTCCATGCTAGTATGGTCCTAGCTGTAGGAGCTTGAAACTTCCCTAGACTTACCGATAAGGAGAAGAAAAATGTCCACAGCCAAACACAAGGCCGAGCATAGGTGGTGATAAGAAAACAAAGGAAACCACCGGATCAGTTCAAAACGCCCGAGTCAATTTATATTAAATCAATGTGGAATCGGAACGTAATTTTATTATCGTAAAATCATTTCGCTTATCCCTCATCATACCAAAAATCATTTTGTCACTTTAATCCCTAAATCCCTTCTTTAAATGATTCCTCCAGTAGCGAGTGAGAATCGATCAACAGCAGGGAGAGAATAAATTTTCGAGTCACTGATAGCAAACTATTGAAATAAAAAAGAAAACACGTATTCGATTCCCAGCATCAGGTTATCAGGATAGAAACGATGAATAAAATAAACGGTTCTCGAGGCCCATGCAGCTTCTAAATTACATGATACGCGCATGCTTTCCATTCGCTTGATATTTAGCGCTGTCCAGGGAGAATTCTCAACGCTGCCAGCTCTTTATAATAAGGCATGCACTTTTCCACAGCCGAGACAACTTCTGGTGTGAGATCACTCGGTTTTCCTGTTTTTTCTTGAGGGAGTGAAAATCCTGCGCTATTCATAACCTCGTCATGCCATGCGGTACAGGGACCCCACTCTGCAACTGGTCCAGGCTGCCAGGAGGTCATGCTTTCAGCGAACGGAAGTCCCACTGCCTCACAGTAATTTTTCATGATTTCGTTTGGAAATCTCAGGAGATCCTCTGCATCTACCACGACTGGATTCTCGTGAACGTGACTATCGATAAACTGGTACAACTCAAACAACTGCCGGAATCCTGTCTCCGCGGGATCGAAGTAATCCCATCCCGCCAGCTCGGGATTTGTCGAGAGCTTGAACAGAGAAGTGACTGCTTTTTTAGGATCACGGATCATAAATGTATGCTTGAAGTGCTTGAAGCCGTCTTCTAAAAAGATGTCGAACTTTCCTTCAACACAGTACGCCATATCTTTGATGAAGACAAATTCCTTACCATTGAATTCTTGTTGCAGCATTTTACTGACTGACTGATAGCTTGATTGAGAAAACGCCTGCAAAGACCGAGCACACGCGGGTCTCAAGCTTTTTCTTTCGGGACTATAATAGAACAGTGTCAGGAAGGGCTCATGGAATACCTGTCCGTTCTTAAGGGTCCTGACAGACCTCTCAACCGCTGTTGCTACGCAACGAGGAGCGCACCATAGAAACACGCCTGTTTTCACCATCTGAAACAAACAAATAAAACGAAATTCATCATATCAACAGTGTCGTAAGAAAGTTCAAGAAGAAGAGGCACGCGAACGTGTGCATGTGGCTTCAAAAATGAAAACAAAACAAAACAAAGACAAGAGAGGATGTCCTCTTCTGCGCAGCCCTGAATCACTGGATAATCTATGATCTCAAACGTTGGCATCTTTACTGCACGCTTCTAGGTAATTTCAACGAGGCATCTTTTGAACAAGATAAAAAAAGATTGCCCAACATCTGTTTAACTTTTATTGAATAAATGTTGTTCTTGTTTAAGCCACTAGCAAGAGCCAGCACTTGCCACTAGCCGCTGCAGTGGGATTATTATTTTCGGCGCCTAGGAACTATAGGCTGATTTGTAGCAACTTAAACTAGACTACCGAAAGGCTACAAAAATGGAGGGACATGAAAGAAGGAGTAGTGGAATCGGAGAAAACTGAAGCAATAGTCACGTAGAAGTGTTATCAACAGTCAGAAAGAGGTTTTACGATGTCCGGTGACCGGCCTTCGAGATGGAATATCCGTTTAGATTTATTACTAAGCATTTACGTATTGATCATAGTCTTTTTTTTTTGTTTCAGAGAACCCTGTGACCCAGTACCCTCGTTCATATCATTTATTGTAAGCACACAAGTAAATACTCTTTTGAAAACTCATAGTAATTCATTTTTACGGAAAATGTGTTTTTTACCTCACTTTACGAACCAGCAAATAATACGTTATCTACTATCAAAACAACAAATGAGGTAAATTTTCTTCATGCTGATCACGCAACATAAGTTCTCCCCTCTTTGATTTTTTTCTTTTTATTTCTTTTGGTCATTTGCCTGCTACCTACACTTCTAAATTGTTCAGGACGTTATTGAACAAGAAAAACAACTGGTCCATTTATTAGCTTCCTAGCTTGTATATTATTTTCACTAAATTTAATTAATCCTCTCTAAGTATGTTCCTCTACAGGATTGTAATATCAACCATTTACATCGATATCGACATAGTAAAGAATATTCTATTGTATTATTCTGTCTACTTTGCTTCACTTTACATTGGTTTACTTCACTTAACATTGTCTTTACCAGTTTCAGCACTTTGCTTTGACTTACTTTTCTCTTTACTTTATTTGCTGATTTGCATTATTTTGTTTCACTTTACATAAGTTTTGCTGTTTTACTTTACTTTATTTTACTGTATTATACTTTAATTTACACGCTTCACTTCACTTTTCTTTTTCTTCCTTTTCTTTACTCCGAGTCTACTTTAATTTCCTTCATTAGTTTATCTCACTTCAGTAAAGATCTTGGTTCACTTCTGCGAGCATTTCACGTGTCAATGATGAGTAACTTTAACAATTTGGGGCTCGAAAACAACGGTCTCGTTGATAAGTGTGCTGTATACAAGGCAACACTAAAACTTTCAGCTCAAACGTCATGCGGTTTTCAGTGGTTTAAGTCGAGAACTTCTTCGCAAGATCAAGAAACTAATTAAGGCTTCACAGAAAAAGAATTTTGAAAAAAAATGTACATTTTTAATGATAAATGTTCATAGTACCGTTAAACTCACGCTAGCGTCTGTTGTCACTAAATAATTTCACTTCGTTATAACAACGCTTATACCGCCGTGATCGTGACCTTAAGCACGCCTGATCATTTATGAGCCAATACCTGGAAATTGCCTTTTAAACCGTGAAAGGGTTTTCTCATAATTATTTTATTCCTTCTCCTCTCTCCTTGTTAATAATGCCAAGAAAGGACGAAAGAATTTGCGTGAGTGTAGCGGCGAGTACACCAAAATGTTCAAAACTGGTTTTATGCAAATTACGCAAAGTTCTTCGTTTGTTATTTACAATTATAGAATGTTAACCATGTTAACTGATGTGAAATAAAGTTTCTAGGAAAATTATAAGTCACACGAATACCTCTGTGATTCAGTTCCAGGGCTGGTTATTTCTCCTTTTGATAACGAAGAAACTGACCCCCAAACGCAGAGCTCACTCATTACTACCGTTATAGTTTTGAACAGAATAAATCAAAAAGGAAAATTACTCGTCCGGAATGCCCTTTTATCACTCACTTGGCTACGCATGAAACGTTTACTATCACTGATTATATTGCTGACATCGTAACTGAAGCGGTTTGATCTCCATTCGAATCGACCACTACGAATTTACACTTTTTGGCCTGTTTACTGCACTTAACCAACAGAATGACGTAATATGTCTCCTACACCGTAATTTTTAGGGAGTTATCATAACTCCAAAAATGGAGTAAAAATTTTAGGTACTGGATAACCCCTTTTTTGGGGTTATTTTAACCGTAATTTAACTCCGAATTTGGGGTCATTTTTACTCCTGAAAAAGAGTTCTGTTTACTCCCAGTCTGGAGTTAAAATCACTCCGAAATGGAGTTAGTTGTACTCCTTACATGGGTTGTTTTTACTCTTTTTGTAGTTAATTTAACTCTGAAAGTGGAGTAAAAATTTTAGGTACAGGATAACTCCTTTTTTGGGGTTATTTTAACTCCTCAATATCTGCGGTCACTTTTACTCCTGAAAAAGAGTTCGTTATACTCCTTTTTGGAGTTAAAATAGCTCCACGAAAAATAACCCCACTGTAAGTATAGGTAATAGCATGATTTGCAGTGATATTTGGCATAAATACCACAAGTGATATTTCAAAATTGTTATACGTAATTTCACGAGCCGTCAGGCGAGTGAAATTTGAGACAATTTTGAAATATCACGAGTGGTATTTATGCCAAATATTATGTACAAATCATGCTATTATTTGCTTATACTACTACCTGCAAAAGGTTTGTAATTTTCACATGTAGGTATTTCAAATTAAGTTGAAATACCACTGCTCTAAGCCAATCAAATTGCAGAAATTTCTAATGTACTAGTATAAGGAGTTAAATTAGCCCCACTAGAGGAGTTATTATAACTCCCTGAAAATTACAGTGTATTTACCAACCTCGTCCCCAGGGAAGACTGTTATAGGGAGGAGATTTTGGGTGCGTTTTTTTGGGAAAATCCAATTCCGGATTTCCAAATCCAAAAACCGATTTCGCGTTTTTTTTGGGCAAATCCACAAACGGATCATGAATTCATAAAATCCACACTCTGGGTGGATTCTTCCGATCAAATCCAAATCCGAATTTTTGAGATGTCACAATCTGAGCGTTTTTTGGGAAAGGATTTGAAAAAAAGTATCTTGAAAAGCGGTTTCCTGAACAAAGGTGGTACTTGTCATCTATTTACATTCGTAGACTCAGTGTAGACTGTTTCTAAACCCCTACTTGTCATATTTTTTTGTACCTACGTAGTGCCTGCTTACGCCGGTTTATTTTCCAAGTAATTAAAAAAAACAAAAACAAAACAATTCAGTATCGGCTTCAGTTTTAAATTCTTATAATTTTACTATCCTAAGGAGTGTATTCTCTTCGAGAAACGTTTGTGTTTCAAACCCGAAATATATACATTAAAAAAAAATACGTTTCGATTCGTTTATTCATACGCAGCCGGTTTATATGATGCTTTTCTTTCTTGTCTTCGCCGCGAGGATCAGTTTGTTGTTTTTTTCCTCTCGAGGAGCACGAGGACATGCTCTTATCATGGTAAATGATCCTTTTTCGGATCTTCCTCTTGTTTGGTAGTAAAGAATCCGTATGACCTGAGATCTTAGATTCCTTCCGAAGAGAAAACGCACTCCGAATGGTATAGGAGCAGGGACTGGGCACCAAAATGAGAGTTACCAAGTTTCATAGCAACGGATGAACCAATCAGAAGGAAGGATAGTTGCTATCTGAAACCAGGCGACATAACACAAACGACAATCAATATGGCTTCCATAGTCAGAAAGGTGTGAATAATTTCGGTCCTTACTTTATCTCTGATCGAACGAAGAAGACTTTGTTATGGCTGATAATGAAGTTGAGGGAGAAATCAGTGAAAATGAGAGTGATGTAAACCTGCATGGCGAGAGCGAATGCGAAGGTGAAGACAGCGGAGGAGAAGATGTCCGCGAGCAAATTGCTGCAACGGCAATTGACGAGGGAGCTGTTACACCAAGGAAAGGCAAAGTTAAAAAGAAGAAAAAGAAGTAAGACAACTGACAATGAAATTAATATACCTAATATCTCTGATACATTTTCTAAAGGGAAACTCTGACTACCGATTCACTGACTAACATACCGACGTTCTTTCCTTCATCAATAGATGGTTGAGCGTGTGCTTGACAAACTGCAAGTATGAAAGCGGTAAGATTGTCGAGCTGTTAAAGCTATGAACAATATTCAAGTACCTGCCTTTAATAAGATGAACTTATTGTTCAGTTTTTTGTAATCGTCTTCGATTTCTCTAGTTCGTAGGGTGACCAAACGATTTGGCATGAAGGAAGTTGGAGAGGACGAAGATTGGACTCTATTTTGGACTGATTGTTCTGTCGCTCTAGAACGATGCATGGACATGCGTCGATATCAGGTTAGACATATACTAGTTTAATCATATTACAAACAGTTTAGATACATTTACTTATCAGCTGAGTTGTCTACTCATTGGATTGTTATGAAAAAGTCGAGTGTCAGAGTGAGATCCGTTGATTTCCTGGTTGATTTCTGTTATTTCTCGAGCTGTGAAGTGGGGTACACGCGTGATTGTGTTCGAACACGAGAACCAATAATTGATTTTCAAGTAGCTTTCCTTCTCACATATGATAACCTAATTTCTTAACTAGAACACGTGAAAAGACCTTGTGTTTGGATAATCCACAGCAAACTACGAAGTGGACCTCTTGGCTTTCTACGCACAGACGAAAAAAATTGTTCATTTTATAAGCCGTGGAGACTGCAAAGTTCCTGTGCGTGTAGAATTACATGTGCATGGGCAACGAAAAAGATTAAGACTAACGAAACTAAAAGCGCATCATATGTATGGACAAATCATGTTTACACTTTCAAAATATATATTTTAATTTCATCTTCTGATAATGACAATTCTGAAGGAGTTTTGACACATAATTCATGCTTGTAGATCACTGTGTGAACAAAAAGGAGTTGTTAATATCACATATCAAAATTATTAAGTTTGTGGAAAATTACTGTGAGTACATGTGAATAAATTTTTTCATTGCAATTCATTAAACAGAAAATTAACCACTTTCCTGGTATGAGTGAGATCTGCCGCAAGGATCTGCTTGCAAGAAATATGAATCGTTTATGGAAGCAATTTCCAAAGGATTATGCTGTGTTTCCAAAAACATGGTGCCTTCCAGCAGAGTAAGTATATTACTTCTGAAACAGATTTCTTATTGTTATTCATCATTGTGAAATACGACAATAGTAATGATGATGATGATGATGACCAGGACCATGACGATGACAATCATGATGTTGATGATGTTGATAACAATAAATAAATATAGTTTATCCCTTGTCCCATATGATGATATAATCATTTGTGATGTTAAAATGTTTCCTAATAAACTCGTGTATTATTGATCTTTTGTGAAAAGCCCCTCTTTGTCTTCTCATCTTTTCTCAGTTATGGAGAATTCCAAGCTTATTGTCGGCAGAAAAAGAATAAAACTTTTATTCTCAAACCTGAGAGTGGTAGCCAAGGAAAAGGGATCTTTCTGACTAAAAATCCAAAGGTAACTGTTCTATAGTTTTATTTAGAGACTAGAGGTGACAAATGTTCCGTGTAACTTGGAAATCGTCAGTGAAAATTTTGACCTGATGTTAAAATCTCAGAGTCTATTTTTTTTGTGTGTTTTCTCCAATATGAACCTTTTGCTGCAAAAAGAAAAAGGCTGTTATAGGATCATAGGGAGTTCCTGATAAAACCATTTGACAAGTTAAGGATTGAATATGTTTTTGTTTTGAATTAAGGGTCTGTGGACTTGCACGAATGTTGTATTCATTATAAACACATTGAGCTCTATTTTTAACCTAATTTTTTTTGTTAGATTTATTTAATGGTGTAGGGCTCGAAATTAAAAAAATCCTCAGGTTGCCTTTTGGTGACTAACTGTAGAAATATAGTCGCCAGATGCAAATTTTAAGTCGCCATTTTGAAAAATGTAAATGACGGAGCTCATTAAGTATCAGGGTTTCTGATATTTAGCGAGGATGCGGAGCGGCAAAATTCAGGTAAATCTGCGAAATCCCGCGAAATTCACAAAAACATGCAAACTACCACAAAATTCACTAGAAATCTTTATCAAATACATGTTGATACAACATATTTGAAACGTATCTCAGCTATTATTGGGGCTGTCTAATTGCTGTAAACTTGCAAATTTATCCTGAAACTTCACCACCACAACGAGCGGAACAACGTTCCAAAACTACCAGGCGGAAATTATGTTGCAAAAAACTGGGCACTATTCATGATGTTAAAAGCTTTGCCATTGGCTCATTTCTCGGGTGCTTTGTTGTTAAAATAGCAAATGATTATCTCTGTTAAAAAGCATTAAACAGGCTCGTCAAATCAGCGCCAAAATCGATCGATTTCTAGCGAAATTTGCCCAGAAAATCTCCACAAAATTGGCCTTTTTTACCGATTGGTTTTTATTGAGCTTAGCGCTGAAAATTTCAGCAAATCTTCTCTGAAAACCCCGTGAAATTTGACTTTTTTCGTGACCTATCAGAAGCCCTGTAGTGTGGTGCGATCCATCAGATATGTCGCGGACAGAAGTCGTTATAAATTTGGAGGTAAACTGGCTTCGTTTATACAATTTGGCACATTTTTTACGACGAAAGCAAAGCAAGATATGATGAAGTGTTTGTTTTAACTTTAGTCTTTTAATTTAAATCTAAATCATAGAGAAACCTGGTCACCTAAGTGGCGACTAAACCTGAAGTTTTAGTCGCCAAGGAGAAAATGTTAGTCGCATTGGCGACCGTATCAGTCCCAATTTAGAGCCCTGTGGTAGTAAAAGCTATAGTTTCGTCTCTTTCCTCCTTGCCTGGGGGGTCTTGTCCACGGGATAGGTTTATTACAGTAATTTCTTCAATGTTGTGTATCAATAAAAAGTATTAAAAGTATGGAATCATTTCTTTCTCTTTTGTTTCCTCTTATGCCGAACTTTCTATGAGCCAAACCTAATGCGAATTAAGGCCAACCTAAATTATTTAGACCGGCTGAATTGATTCTGACGCTGATCTTGATTGCTGCTGAACTAAGATCAAAAGGTGGAAAATGCCCATTTCGGTCAAACTGCTTACAAAGTATGTTATAAGAACTTATGCTTTTAGGTTCTGTACATGAAAAGTCGGGCGTCTGAATCCAAGCGGTTCCAAAGTCGCTCCAAAGGCGAAATTCCTGTCTGGGCTAGGCAAAAAGAATGGCTGAGCCGTTCCAAATTAAAATGGGCATTCCTAACTGATTTAGATGCCAAACTGTTCATGCACTTAATTCAATGAGGTTCGGCTTATGAAATGTTCAGCATCTGAACCAGGCCTTAGGTCTGGCAAATTACAGTCTCTCCCTGAAAAAATAATTTTGTGTAACTTGTCCATTTCCCATGGGTGGATTAAAAACTTATAAGGCAGTAGGACACTTATACTTGCAGTCACAGGAATGTTCCGTGGGAGTAGACTGAATATTGACTCCATGTATTTTTTGGTACACAGGATGTGAAGCCTGGAGAACACATGGTCTGTCAGCAGTATGTTTCCAAGCCATTTCTTATTGATGGATTTAAGTTTGATTTGCGTGTATACGTGCTGGTGACATCTTGTGATCCACTTCGGATTTTTGTGTATGAGGATGGTTTAGGAAGATTTGCAACAATGAAATATTTGGATCCAAGTGCCAACAACTTAGTGAGTACACAGTAAATAAATGTAAATCTGGTTTTTCAACCTAACCTATGGGCCCACAAATCTAATGCAACAGCACATAGCTATTTTTAGAAATGTTGTTTCAGCTTGTTTGTTTTGTCCCAATGAAAATGTTGTGTTGATCAGCGCTGTGTAAGAGGCTACAGTGTGCACAGGAAAACTTTCTAGCCCTGAGGGGACACTGGGGTACTCTGACTTTAAGTTTTTGGATGGTAGTGCCTGTTGGCCCCAGTACAGCAGGTGGCACCTTACCTTTGCTCTTGGTGGGGACTAGAAAATAATAGTTTTTTTCAGTTAAATCATATGTTAGGCACCCTGGAATCACAAGTTCAGACCATTGGGCTCCCTCAAATTTTTTCTTACAGCATAGGCTTGCTTTAATTGCATATTCAGTTTCCGCTATCCTCAAAAATCAGCATTTCCTACATTTTTGAGTAATTCGATGAAAGCCAGTTTTACGGCTTGCCATTCGGGCAAGCTGTAGCTAGTGCGTACTAGCCCAAAAGTCATTTCAACTAGCCTGAAAAAAATATTTGATGAGCATTTGTTACAGTTAGAACTTCTGTAATTTGAATTCCCCCCAAAAACTTCATTTTCCCATTGGGCAAGTTTAGAATAGAAATCACCAGCTCAGTAGCAAAATCCGCTAGCCCCAGGCTATGGGACACCGCTTTCTGTGCACGCTGTGATGTGAAATTGGTAGACAGAAAAGCAACTGTGTGATTGTGCTACCTGTAATATTATTGTTATGTATTTAATACAATTTTATAAATTATTAATATTTCATTAATTTTTTTCAGGACGATATTTGCATGCATCTTACAAATTATGCTGTAAACAAACATAGTAAAGATTTTATGAGAGATGAGGAAACTGGTAGTAAAAGGTAAAGTTTTGGTATTTTCTGTTAAATAAATATGAAAAGAACCTTAACTTTAACTGAACTATAATGTTTCAATAATTAAAAATACTCCACAATGACTAATGTCGATATTTGTCATTCCAGACGAATCACTACAATGAACAAATGGTTTGAAGATAATGGTTACAATGTTAAAGAGATATGGAATTCAATAGAGGTAAGGCTAGATTACTGATAACATGAGAATAATAATTGTAAAACATACAGGGCTTCTGATATTTTGCGGAAAAAAAGCAAAATTTCGCGGGATTTTCAGAGGCAAATTCGCGGAAAAATCGGCTGATTTCGCGGGATTTTCGCGGGAAAAAAGTCAAAAGTTGCGGAAAAATCGGCCGATTTCGCTGGAAAAAGTCAGAATTCGCAGAAAAATCGGCCGATGTCACGGGAGAAAAGTCAAAATTCACAGAAAAATCGGCCGATTTCGCGGCATTTTAGCGGGAAAAAGTCAAATTTTCGAAGGATTTTCGGGGCAAATTCATAGAAAAATCGGCCGATTTCAAGGGAAAATTCAGTGGGAAACTTTGCCAAGAAACAATCAGTAAAAAACAGCTGATTTCGTTGTTTTTTTTTTTTGGCAAATTTCACTAAAATCGATCAATTTTGTGTCAATATGACCAGCGTTGTTTAACGTTTTTGTTAACACTGGGATAATCATTTGCTCTTTCAACTACAGTTCGCTCGAGAAATGAGCGAATGCTTAAGCTGTTAACATTATGGTTAGTGCCCAGTTTTTCGCAACGTTCATCTAAGAACGCCTGGTAGTTTTGGGACGTTGTTTACTCGTTTCAGTGATGAAGTTTCAAGATAAATTTGGACGTTTGAGGTGAATAGAAAAGGTCTAATAGCCAAGATAAGTATTAAATATGTTTTGCCGACATGTATTTGGAAATATTTCTGGCGGATTTCGCGGTATTGCGTGTTTTTTTGGAATTTCACGGGATTTCGCGGAAATGCCTGAATTTCGTGGGTCCGCGACCATGCAAAATATCAGAAGCCCTGAACATATCACAAGGCAGTGAGATAACTTAAAAGAAACAGCCATTTTCCTCTCTTTCCCTCTCTAAAAAATGTACAATTTTCAGACTAAAACAGTGAAACATTTTCCCCTGTTCAGGGCTCAAACCTTGAATTCCAGCTTGTCCTTTGGACAAACAGCTTTCACATTTTGCTTGCCAGGGGCCATTGCTTGCTTGTCTTGGTTAATGATTTAGTTCAAGGATGACTTACCTGGACCCTTGCCAATTTGCCCAGCAAGAAAATCTTGTCAGGACTTTTTTCAAGCCCTGCAGTTGCTTCACAGGGCTTTCACTTAGATTTCAAGTTGCCGGGTATGTGTATAGTCAGGAGGTGGAAAACTGAACAGCCCAGGGAGTCCTTTCTCATTTTGCTTTTGTTGCCTATGAAAATAACCGGGGTCATTTTCATAGTAGTAGCCAGAGAAAATCCCGGGCCTTCGTTTCTTAGTGTCAGCCCTGACTATATATGTATTTTAAGGTGCTGTTAATTTATGGGTCTGAACGTATAATGGGAAATATGGCACTGCATAATAAATGGGTTGGGGGGGTACTTTAGGAATTTCTCGGTGGGGATGTGCCGCTGGGACCCTGGGACCCTTAACCTATACCAGAGCTAGTTCAAGTGAATTTTGCTACCCTATACTAGAGTAAATTTCCCAAATCCCCCCTATCCTAGAGTAGCTGTTTTCCAGAAACTACTGAGGTCACTAGCAGAGTCTAGCCAAAACAAAATCTTCTACCACAATCCCTAGTCTAGATAAAATCTTCAACCAACTGATCAGTTTCCTGTAAAATGATACCCTATTCTAGACCCAAACACTCTGATTTATATACCCTATCCTAGAGTAAACTGCTTGAAAACCATACCCTTCACAGCGGCAAATACCTATATAGCCCATATATGGCAGTACCCCCGGGAAATTTGTGAAACTAAAGAATGCTTGCCTTAACTTCTCTAATATATGAATTAATGATAAATATAATTTGTGTGTGAGCGAGGGAGTTTAAAGTTTAGGGGTAATAATTTGGTGAGGCGGAAATTCTGGTGTGTTGAGCACGACACTTTAGCTGCAAAAATTGCCTGTATCACTTGAAATGAAGCTATATCTGAATTTTTACAGTGTATGTAAAACTGACAATTCAATTAAGTGCATAACATCACGACCTAATGTACTATGCATGATAAATACAGGACTGTTTCTTACTGATGCCAATGCTATTTATTTGTATATTTGATTTACCGCACGTTTATTTGATTTCTTTTTTCAGGATGTCATTATCAAAACGTTGATCACTGCCCATCCAATACTGAAGCACAATTACAGGACTTGCTTTCCAAACCACAACAAAGGCAGTGCTTGCTTTGAAATCCTAGGTTTTGATATTCTTCTTGACAAGAAGTTGAAAGCCTGGGTTTTAGAGGTAAAGAATTTTAAAGTGCATGGACCCAAAATCAAACTAATCTTTAAACTTTTCTCTAAGCACTTGTAAAGCACTGGGTAGACCTACTTATTATTTACTTTGTACTCCAGGGTATTACATTACTACTTTTGTTCACTCTTGTAAATTTAACATAATTTTGAGCATGTAATTTTGCATAGCCACAGCTAACCTAAACGATTACTTTATGTATTTAATGGGTAGTGAGAAAAATAAGACTGTTTAAAGTCGTCTATTTGTCCTTAAGATGGTCGAAAACAAGTGCTACAGGTGGCCATCTTGATTAGATGACTTTCTGAACTGCTTAGGGGGTGGGGGCCTTTTTGGGAGGAGGCAAGCAACTCGCCTCCCTTCCCCTACCACTAATAACCCCAACTCCCCTCCCCCTGACATTTGAACCAGTTATGAAATGACTACCAGTGACGGTGAGTGCTCGAGCTTAACAATCAGCATCTTACAGAAAAATAGGTGACTGTGGACAGTCTATGAGGAAATTAAAGTGTAAATATTGATTGACCAATAAAATGAATGAATGAACTATTAATCCCACTGAATATTACTTCACTACACTGTATTTCTATGCTATTCTATTCGATTTCTATGTTCACCTTTCAGTTTTCAAAATTTTTCTTTTCATTTTCAGGTTAACCACTCACCAAGTTTCACCACTGATTCGCCTCTTGACAAGGAAATCAAAGATGGACTGATGTATGATGCTCTTAATCTTCTTAATTTTGGGGCCTGTGATCGACGCAAAATACTCGAAGAAGACAAAAAGAGGGTGCGGGACAGGCTCTTGCAAAAGCAGAGACCAAGAGAAAACAAGTATGTGAAATACCAGTTTGCTGCTGAAGTTGTTATGTTCACACATTACCGAATAGCTTTTTGGTGGTTAGCTCAAATGCTAAGCTCCTCTGACCACCCTACACTTCTATCAAATCCTTTAATTTCTTTCCTTTTCTTCTCTTTATTATTTTTTTCCTGCGTTACTTCCAAAAGCACTTGATCAGATTATAAGTGATAGAAGGTCCAAACACGCGGGATCAGATTGTGTTCTGTGCACTTGATTCATTCTTAGTGGAAGTCCAAATGAAGCTAGCCTGTTTCAGGCTGTCAGATGGTGGGGAAGACGCGAAAGTGAAAGGTACGCGAAAAGTTGGCGGGGCGGGGCGGGGCGGGTTGGTTTCCACCCGTTTTTTTTTCTCATGTTCGCGCTTTCTCAATTCAGCGGACCCGACTATCTCAGAGCCTGGAACAGGAAAAACGAAGCTGTCTACGTACGTGCCGTATATGTGTAATAGCAAGCCGGTGATAAGGATTGTAGGCGCCTCTTGTCCCCCGAAATTAATTACCCTTATGTTATACTATTTTCAGGAAAGATGATGTCGATAATCAGTCACAGTACACTGAATGGTTAAAGAAGTATGAAGATACCCACCTGGGAAAATACAGGTAATGTGAAAAAAGGATTTTCGTACAACCATACATTTTTATGGTGAAAAAAAGAAAAACAGTCACAAACTACTTTGACACTCAACACCAAAAGATTTCTGCAGTCAAAACGTTTCGTTACAGATACCTCTCTATTACGGACAGTTCGTTTGGACCTTAAAGTGAGTGCAGAGAACCTGGACACCTCAGCTCTGTGATGTGGACACCTTGCTCTATCCCTTTACTGTCCCTTTTTTAAGGTCGTGTCACCTTAGTGGGTGTCGTTATTACCAGACTTTCGTTTATAGATGAGAACTTTGGCGACTTTTTTGAGCAATAAGACAGATAGCCTACGTGTGGCCGCTCCCTCCCTCCGTTTTTCCTTTGTCAGGGGGAGTGTGCGGCTACACATAGGTTATAAGACAGATCACTGACCGTCTTATTTTATTTTGCTTTGTAGGCGTATTTATCCCGAAGGAAATGAAGAGAAATACGCTGTTTTCTTTGAGAACAGTTGCTCACTCTTTCAGGAGACTGCAGCTTCTAAGGCTCGTATTGAATGTGCCAGGTGAGATTTGCGAAGAAATTTGTTTTGGATGTCATAGTTCTTTTTGGTCGCTGATGGCCGTAAGTGGTAAATTATTCGAGGCAGGGCGCTTTTTAACTTTTTCTGCCTTTAGGATGGGCGCTTATTCGGGGCGGGCGCTAATTCGAGGTTGGGCGCTTATTCGAATAAGTACGGTACATATGTGGAACAGGCGTTATTTTGTCGCGTGTTTCAGGCGATAGAAGGCAAAGAAGAAAAAATAACGCCAATTCGCAAGTTACGGTTTATGAAGACGCATGTTGTCAACTCTGCAACTTAAAATCTTGTCGCTAATGCGCGATACAAAGAATCAAATTGCAACTTGCGTGTCGACTTCATGACTGAATTTTCATTTTTAGCTACAAGTTCTTATATTTAACCTGCGAACGCAGAGGTCACTGTTGTGGTCCTCGATTCTCTGCACGGGTGGAGAGACTCGACGCCCGGAAAAACGTCTGCGTGGGCAGGCTACTTGTATTCAGATACATTATTAACAATACTTTACTCACATGCAAGATCCAATTTCCCAAATTTACAATGAAATTTAGCGTCCGTTGAAGGCGCTTAAAGGAATTTTTAAACAGATAATGCGCAAGTGCCACGCAGGCTAATTGAAATTGAAATTTATGTACGAAAAAAAAACTAGCTCCTGATTGAATGATTAGCAAGATTTTTGCTGGTCATACTTTTGGTTTTGATTGATGTGCTGTTCAAATGATGGTATGCTCATTGACGTACCGTTCTCCTTCCCTGTAGAGTTCAACGTGAACAAATTATAGCCAAGCAACAAGAACTGGAAACTGCGAGACTGAAAAACAGTGGGAGAGCACCAAAGGGAAAAGATGGACTCAGACCCGAGAGCCCTCATAGCCGGCGGCCACGAAGGCCCCCAGTAAAGAAGATGATTCAAGCCAATAAAAATAAATTTGATGTAAGTCATGTTTGCTTCCTTGTCAGCGAAATAATTCAGCTTTCTGTGAGACACGTTCTCTGGCTGGTCACTTCCCTCGAAATGGAGAACTTACACCCAAGTTGTCTAGTAATCTCATCTTTAGCCTAGGGATATCTTGAGTCGTCATGAGCGAGCGCCATGGAAAGCATGCTCGTAGGCTAGCAAATAATTAACTAAAAGCTTCACAGTGTTTCTTTAACTAACTATTTTGTGAATACGTTTATTTCAGGGTAGAAGAGCAAGCCATGAACAATCAGATACCACCAAACCAATGACCATCTCGGAGGAGGAAGAACTGGAGCGAATAACATGTCTTCTCCAGCGAGATAATCTTATTCGTGGACTGGGCGTGGTCGAGTTTGTGTACAAACTGTTACATTGTACCCCAGGCACTGGGGGGCCACAAAAGAACTGCTCCTTACATCACTCGGTGGGTACTTAGCGGAGATGATCTCTAGAGCACATTGTAGGAATTGCAATTGTTCTGTGAAAATGAAAGGGAATCTATTAAGTTCGGCAAAGACCTGCCCATTGGGGTTGAGTATAAACGGTACTCACCAGACCTATGCGCGGACCCGTACCCTGCCTACCCATTGCCACACAACTTTAGGGAGATAGACACTAGGTGGGAAGCGGGCGGCCGCGGGGGGGCACTGCCAGAGAAGTTTGCTTCCGTAGGGCTCGAGAAGACTAGAATGATATGTAACTATGGTAGAACAAAGGCTGCTCGGTTATGTTAATGCCCAAATGTAGTCCCGGGCAAGATAAAACGCGGTCAAACCTTTCCGAATTCAGGTACCCAACCAACTGAGCTAATAGAGACCTTTAGATTCTAAGACGAGTACGACTACGAGTACGATATTTTCTCAACACTAAGTAGTACACGCGCGTGAACCCGCTTCATCAAAAAGTTGTATCCGTCGTCATCCTACTACGAGTTTTAACGAGAATGTTGTAGTGACGGAAACGAGTTATCGATTGTTAAAAGTGTTATCTTTTTGCGATCGGAAGAGGGCTTGACCTTTTCCGACAAAGATAACAGTGCTAACTTTCCTGGTTTGAAATGTAGCACAATGAAGCATTCCTTGGTGTCTATTTTGATCACGATAGCCGAAAAAACTGCAAGTGAAGTTCTGGTCCTCGAATCTAGAGGTCTCAAATAGAATAATGAATGGGGCCGTAGAAATATACTGTGTAAGGTACACGTTAGCCTATGGTGCCTGAAACAATTGAAATACTTTCGATAGCAGTGTCTTGTCAAAACAGAGTGCATTAGTTGCGTCCAGTTAAAAACCAGCTCTTTCGAATCTTTCCTCAAACTTTCTGTCACGGTTATTTTCGTGTTAAAAGGCATTCTTTTGATGAGCCAAGGTAACGTTATGACTTTGTCAGTGGAAAATTAATAGAAATCATCCTGTTCTTTTTCATAGAGCAACAATTACAACCCAAAAGAATCACCGTCAAAAAGTAGCGCTGGAAATTATCGTGAAATGTTCAGCGGCATTGGAGCTTCTTCCATGTATGGTTCAATGGGATTGTTGTCTACAACAGGCGGAGTAACCACTGGCAACAGCGTAGTCCCGTCTCAGTTGTCTCGGTTCCAGACGTATCAACCCGCAGCTCTTTCAGCTGTAATGAATATGAACTCTTTAAATCAACAAGCGCCTCCGACTTTAATGCGAAATGACCGTCGGGCGTTAGCCTCCTTTGGTATAGTGCCGACTGCACCTACGGGCTTACCGAAGCACCGGTATGGTTCAAGGAAACTTGCGGGAAATACGAGAACTATGACTAGCAATGCGGATCATGATTGGAAATCAGGCTCATATACAGGCATCGATAATGCGTATGGTATGATTGATCCCAGACTGGACAATCAACCCAGTGGTACTCTACGGCGACGGACATTAAGCGCTTCAGGAGTTAAAACATGCCCGGACTCGATTCAAGGGAATGGTGCACGCGCGGTGAATCCTCGCGTGTTAGCCACGAATGTTGCAGGCGGATCGCAGACTAATCTCTCCAGTCCAGGTGGTGTTACCCCTGGTGCGCATGCGCAGCAGTATATGTGTTCAATGTACACGTTTCCTAATGTCCTTAAAGTGGCTCCGCAGCCTCAGAATGGAATGAACTTGTCTGTTATATCTGGTCCAGCGCCCGTAAGTTATCGTCCGAGTCAAGCTGGTGTGGGAAGCGAACACGCCGACTCAACACAAAGGATCGGACCTTCACCCTCTGGACTTATGAGGTAAATTAGAACTAAGAGTAACGTTTGCTCTCGGAAAGCAAGAGCCAAAAAAATAATCCCTCTGGAGGATAATAGTTATTTTGCAAATGCGTTGATTCTTTTAGTTTCCAATTCAAACCTCTCCCGAGAGATCACCCAACCACTGCAGTGGTGGACAAAACGTCCAAGTAATGCAATATCCTTAATGCTTTGTAATTTCATTAGCCAATACATGGTTGAGAGTAGCAGAAGGGGGGGTGGGGCTAGGCATATTTGGCTTCATTTGCGTGTGATTATTGTTTCGCGTGTGTAAAGATCGCCCCAATGCAAATGGTTTTGCCGCCAACTTATAGTTAACATTCTCTACATTTTGGGTCGGTCGGTTGTTTGAACAAAGTCTAAGTTACAGCTCGCTGGTTATGAAAATCAGTGACCCCAAAAGTTGTTCTTAACCGCCGTACTTTAAACAGATATAGTGTAAATGTTTTTTTTTTAGCTCGGGCTGTAAACCCAGATGTGTTCATTACGTATAGGTAGTATCACGGTTGGTAAAATTATAAAACGACTTCAGTACGCCGTTATGTTAAAGACCGAATTAACTCTGTTTTAGTAACAGTGCCTTTATCTTTTACCCAAAGCTGTTCTGTAGTACTAACTTGTCTTTTGTTTACTGTTTTCAGATCAACTAAAGCGCAGAGAGCTCGGGGAGCTACGAACAACTTGCGATTAAAGGTACTTGTTGATACGCTTGATTAATATACCATTTTTGTGAGGCGTAAGGCTTGGTTGTAAAAAGTGTCGGAATACACACAAATGCCTGACGCTATTTGAGCAGACATGCCTGCTTGGGGACCAAAACAGCCAACTTCGTTGTCAGGGCTTTTCCCTCAGTAAGTGGGAATTTATAAGAGGAAAAGTGCTGGGAACGGGTCATATATAGCCAGAGAACGCAGACGTATTTCCGGCCGTCGCTTCTCTCGACCCGGTGGAGAGAAGCAAATACGTCTGCGTACGCTGGCCAGGTCACATAACAGCACTTCCTTCAATTAAGAAGCATTACTGATTGAAATATTCCCCAAAAACGGAGACTTGCTTTCACACAGTTTTCGTAGCATAAGAATTGTCGTAAAGGCGATGTTGAAGATTATGATGATTATGATTACGATGATGATGATGCTTACGATGTTTTAAAGTGCTGAAAAGATTTGTGCAAGCTTTACGGTACGCAAACCAGCGCTCTCAGATCTCCCTACATTTCACACATACTTACAATTTGAGGAGAGAATCTAGCGAACTAACGCTCCTTTTTTATGTCAACAGCAGCTTGAGCTTCGTGAAAACCACGCAGTAGTGTTGAGTTGATTCAGCAGGGAACACAGCGGTGATCCAATTTTCAAATCGACGAGGTCGGAATTATCCGAAATCTGCAAACCAGCATGGAGCGATTAAAGAGGGTACTGAACTCCCCAGAAATCAATAGATTTAGTGATATCTGGTAGTAATGAAGAACAATTTGTAAAACAAATTTCAAAATCACCACTTTGTTACTAAAAAGTAACTTTTGTACATTCGTTGTATAAATTCCTAACATTCGGATTGTCTCCCATTCACATATCTTTCGTACGCGTAGGTAGAAATGATTATAATTGTTAGCATTTTAGAGTGAATTTTTACATTATTGTATAATCTTTGAAAAACTTGTGAACAATTTTGACCAAAAAGGTATTTGTAAATAAGTATATCAACAGAGTTGTACTTTCAATAATTATTATAAATGCGTGTTATTTTGATGAATGCGGAAGAGTATGTATCAGCAATGATTGATTTAAAAAAATTCTTAAAAACCCAGCGTTTTAAGAGTATGATTTTGTACCAAATGATAAAGTTTGTATGATTGACAGAAAAAAAACATGTTATTAAAAAATTGCCATTTACACTACCTTCTAATCTTGAGTGCCAATTTTGTGTTGAGATCACAAAGCGCTAGCTTTTGTACGTATTTACAACATATACAAATTTGGGTATTCCAGTAACTAGAGGATTTAAAATTGCTTCTATTTATTTGGCCAGCTTGTATAAAAATATTGACCAGCTTAGGGTCTATATGCTGTCCAAGACAGTTGATATACTAGCTATTAGTGAGACTCGTCTTGACAGCTCTATTCAAAATGGTGAGGTCAGTATCCCTGGATATACCCTTGAAAGGAAAGATAGAAATAGAAATGGGGGTGGTGTGGCCCTCTACATTAGGGACTCAATAAATTATAAGCGTCTCATTGACCTCCCGGATGATAACATAGAACTGATCAGTATCCAAGTGTCGAAACCGAAAGCAAAACCATTTATTGTGTGCACTTGTTATAGGCCTCCAGGGTCCACTACTGAACTGATGAACAGATTTGATCGGAGTCACCGATATCGGAATCAGAGATCAGTGTCTGGTGTATGCAATAAGAAAGATTTGTATCCCCAAATCAAATCCAAAGACTGTAACGAGCAGATGCTTTAAAAATTTTATTCCAGATAGTTTTCGAACTGATTTATCTATGGTCCCGTGGCATCTGATTGAACAGGAGCATAATCCTGACATTGCTTGGGATATATGGCAACATATGTTCTTAGACATTGCTGATAGCCATGCACCACTAAAGAAGAAGAGAGTGAAAGGAATCTCTTTCCCCTGGATTACTCCAGAGCTAAAAAGGCTAATGTTTCAGAGAGACAAACTCCAAAAATTAGCCTCAAGGTTCCCAACAGATGGCAATTGGACTTCTTACAAACACATGAAGAATAAGGTTAATTATAAAATTAAGAATGCTAAAATGAACTATTACAATGCCTTCTTCAAAGATAACCTCAGAAACATAAAGAATACTTGGAAAGGAATTAACAGACTAATTGGAAATGAACCTAAATTTAATAAGATAACTCAGCTGGACAATGGGGATACTGTAAATACTGACCCCATCGAAATCAGTAATATACTCAACACACATTTCTCCAAAATAGGACCTTCCTTAGCCTCTTAAATTAAAGATACATCCAGAATTTTACTGATTATATTACCCCCGCAGAACACATTTTTAATTTGGCAAAAGTATCATGCCAGGAGGTCTTCAATTTAATTCAGAAAATACCGAGTAATAAAGCCAGTGGTCTTGATAACATCTCAGCACGTCTCCTGAAAGAAGCGTCTCCCATAGTTACTCGCAGTCTAACTTTTATAATAAATCAGTCAATTACCACTGGAATATTTCCAAATGCTTGGAAACGGGCTAGAGTTTCGCCAATATTTAAAGAAGACCTCAGGACTGATCCTAACAACTACAGACCTATCTCAGTTCTGCCTGTAGTAAGTAAATTAATTGAAAGAGTTGTTTTTAATCAATTATATGAATATTTAAATAATAATAACTTGTTAACTGAATCACAATCTGGCTTCAGACCTATATTTTCCACTGAAACAGCTTTACTTGAGGCTACGAATGAATGGCTATGGAATATTGACAACAGTGTGATATTCCTGGACTTGAAAAAAGCTTTTGATACCATGGATCATGCTATCCTTCTGGGAAAGCTTAAACTCTATGGGGTCAGTTCTTAATCTCTTATAACTGGTTCCAGTCCTATCTATCTGACCGACAGCAACAAACGTTCATTGATGGAGTTCAATCTGATTTCTGTAATATAACATGTGGTATTCCACAGGGGTCTATTTTACGCCCTCTCTTATTCACTATTTATATTAATGATCTCCCATCATGTAATTTGTTTTCAAAACCCAGAATGTATGCAGATGATACTACCCTTACCACATCTGCAGAAGACCTATGTGTCCTTGAACATAAAATGAATTATGATATGAATTTAATCCAGTCATGGCTGTCAGCAAACAAATTAACTTTAAATGTTAAGAAGACTAAATACATGCTTATAGGGAGCCAATTTAAGTTATCCCAAATAAATAGTGACTTCACAGTCAAAGTCAATAATACACCCTTAGAAAGAGTAATTAAACATAAATCCCTTGGAGTTCAAATTGATGAATCTTTGAACTGGCGCCCACACATTCATACCATTTCAAAGAAAATATCCGCTGGTATTGCTATCTTAAGGCGTGTAAGTCATTTTATACCATTTGATACTAGATTGAATATGTATAATGCACTGGTAATGTCATATTTTAATTACTGTGGTGCCGTATGGGGTAATATCAATAAGGGACTAGCAGACAAACTTCAAAAGCTGCAGAATGGGGCTGCTAGAATTCTCACCTTTACTAACTCCCGGGGGGGCACTGCCATATATGGGCTATATAGGTATGTGCCGCTGTGAAGGGTATGGTTTTCAAGCAGTTTACTCTAGGATAGGGTATATAAATCAGAGCGTTTGGGTCTAGAAAAGGGTAATATTTTTCAGGAAACTTATCAGTTGGTTGAAGATTTTATCTAGACTAGGGAAACAGCTATACTCTAGGATAGGGGGATTTGGGAGATTACTCTAGTATAGAGTAGCAAAATTCAGCTGAACTAGCTCTGGTATAGGTTAAGGGTTCCAGGGTCCTAGCGGCACATCCCCACCCAGAAATTCCTAAAGTACCCCCCCCCCCCCGGGTTCTAACTATGACGTTCGCTCAAGTGTTTTGTCGGATGAGCTTGGCTGGGAAAGGCTAGAATATGTAAGACTTAAACAGTTGGCTGTGACAATGTTTAAAATCCATAATAATCTTTCCCCATCGTATCTGAGGCGGATCTTTACCAACACCTCAAATGTACATTCACACAATCTTAGAAATTCTGAGTTAGATTATTATGTCCCCAGACCCAGAACTGAGTCTGCAAAAGGGAGCCTACACTACAGAGGATCTGTTCTGTGGAACAAGATTCCCTCAGAGATTAGAAAACTGCCTAGTTTAAATGTTTTTAAAATTTCAATTCATGCATCCCAAGAGTTCTTAGGTTTTCCAGTACCTGGGGTATTGATCATATCGACAGAAAATTTCCGAGGTCATAAAATGTTTAAGTAGCTACGTAGTTATTCTTGCAAAATCGTATGTACTTTCACCTTTATATGCAGCTCAATTTAGCACACGCAGTTACAACAACAGTTCCCCCAAAAGTCACTGAGATTTTTTGTACGCTTTGTTTGCAATTTGCGTTTCCGTGACGCGCAGATTTTTCCTGGTCACCAGTCTGCAGTCCGCCGAATTACATTGGACGGCGGGAAAATCGATCGACATCTGAACAAATGGGCCAGGGTTTCTCAAAGGAACTTCACATATATGTTCGGTCATGTTCGTGCAAACATTTAGCGTATATACTGTCAGGCACACTTTGATCTTTTAGTGGGGATCATGCCGTACCGGAAGGCCGCGTGACGGAAACCGCGTGACGACCGGAGATATTTGTACAGGTGGTGGTGCAGTTTTAGTCCATTGTCAAGCATGTGACGACATGAAGTAGTAAAGCAGGGTTTTGTGAAGAGACGTTCACTTTGAGAAAAGAATTGAATTATCTAAAGACCGAAAAGCGTGTACCTGGCAACGGAATTTGGGAATAATTGGAAAAATCGATCGAACATGGCGGACGATGTAAATTACCTTGTCGTTAATACACAAAGGAAAGTCCCACTAGCGTGGCGAACAAGGATTTGTTTCGGTGTTGGGCATGTTCTGAATGATTTAACTGCCTCTATGTGGTTCACATATCTCTTGGTTTATCTTCATAAAGTGGTTAAATTCTCAAACACTAACGCTGGAACTCTGTTACTCATTGGACAAGTCGCTGATGCATGTTGCACCCCCCTTGTAGGCATTGGCTCCGACCATACAGGTCGCGTTAGATACGGTCGACGAAAAATTTGGCACCTTGCTGGAGTAGTGTTCGTGGTAGTAAGCTTTCCGTTTGTGTTTAATCGCTGTTTAGGTTGTGAAAGCGCTGATCAGTGGGCCAAGTTTGTTTATTACGCAGCGTTCATAGTGCTTTTTCAATTCGGATGGGCAGCGTCGCAGATCTCTCATCTGAGTTTAATTCCTGAGCTGACGGATGATGATAACGAAAAGTGTGGTCTAACTTCAATCAGGTAAGTTTCATTAATACGCTTCTAAGCTTCCCCTCTGCACAATGTCACATATTACATGTCTATGAGCCTTATGACCTCAAAAGTGGCACAAGAGACAATCACAAGGTCTGCATGGACGGTTCCATTCAGGGGTGCTTTTAATAGACCCCTTTACAGTTGTGAGGGCATGCTAGGTAATCAGGACAAGGTGGTGGGGAAGTCGAAAGTTTGTATGGGCGTTCAATTAGTCAGCTAATTCTTTCTTATTGAATATATTTGTGACTTTCTCTTTGCAAACTTTAACTAATGAACTTAAAGAAACTATGCACTAAATGTGGAGAGCACAGCAGTCCTTTGTCGCTGTTCAGAAAATTTGACTTCTTCAGGAGCCTAGGCTCCTGACTTCTTCTGTACATTATGTGTAATTTTTGTCTTGTCGGATTACAGAAAATGTAAAAAGCAAGTAAGGACTGCTATGTTTTCAGATTTAGTGTGTAGTTTCTTTATGTTCATTAGTTACATTTTTCAAAGGGAAAGTGACAAAATATAACTTGTCCTGATTACCCATCATGCTGTTACAACCGCGAAGGTGTCTATTATGCCAAAATTTCAGGAACTTTGGATTGAAAACTATAAATGAAACGCTTCAGGTGGAAATTTATTAGAAAGAGTCGTCCACCTCCAGGGGTGGTCGTCTTGACTGCTGGTTGGTTTAGTCCAACGTAAATTTACTGTTCTGTTTCCAAAAATTCTTGTTTCCTGTTCCACTTGGCTGTAGCTTGTGACGCAGATGTGATTTAATCGCGGTTAGTAATGTCTGCGAAGCAATGCCTAAATCTTTCCTTGTTCTGGACTCAACAAATTACCGGAAATGCGTTTCAAATTTCCTTTCAACCTGATTGCATGGAAATCGACAAAAGCTTTCTAACAGGCCATTCAGATCGTGTACTCAAATCCTAGTACATTGGTGTACTTTCACGGGTCTGGTTTTCCAGGCTGGCATGGCATGATAAAAATTTCCAGCCTAGTGTAACAGCTGGGATCCCCGGGGGGGGGACTCCCATATGAAAAAGACGGGGATGCTCGTCGTCTCGCTTAGGGGTGTAAATTTTGGATTTTGGTCTCGCTTAGGGTGTTCCGGGCAAAGCGCCAATATTTTAAGCCGCCAAGGTCTCGTTTAGGGTTCCGCGAAGAAGAAACACAGAATGACGCGAAGAGAAACAGAAGTCAACTTTTCTTTTTAACTTTGTTTGTTATGTCTTTGTATCATTAAAACTCATTGCATGTCGTATTTGTGTGTTTTTAACCAGTCTCTTTTAGGGGTCAAAATTTGCTTAAGTCACGCCCAGATTGGTCTCCTTTAGGGGTCACAAAAAGCTTGAGCCACGCCCAGATGGTCTCCTTTAGGGGTTAAATTCAAAATTTCCGACGAGCATCCCCGTCTGTTTCATATGGGAGTCCCCCCCCCGGGCTGGGATCCTGGCATTATGATTATCCAAATCCTGGCTATCTGGGCTCGAGTGGTTGTGATAACAATGTCAAAGCCTCTGTAGCAGGCACATACCTGCTATTCAGTTGCCTGCGAGCAAGCTATCCTTTTGGGGGAGTCATGAGAAGTCACGTGAGTGCCGCACATGAAAGGAGACATGAGTCCTTGTGGCCTCACCACTCACTCTCCACAATAATATTGGACAGCTTGTTCTCAGGCTAGCTATAATGCAGGCTATGATGAAGTTCATTTCTTTTAATTAACTTTCTGAGATCGCAGCAAATCACTCATATATAAGCCCCACTCATATATAAGCAGCCCCTAAATTCCACAGTGACTAATTTTAAGACAAACTTCTCTGAATCCTTTATAGTATTTTAGACTAGCTGCTTCCATGCCAAACTCTTTAGCAGAATCCCATATAAACTTCAAGTCATTTTTTTGCAGGTATGCAGCCACTGGATCTTGTAACATCTTTGTATTTGTTATCACGTGGGTTTTTCTGGGGACAAGTGAAGCCAGCACCAGCTCAAACCAGCTAGGCTCTTCTGATGCTTCCTCATTTATGGTAAAGATAAATGATTAATACTTGAACTGAATGTAAATGTTAACATGTGGGCTACAAGTAGTATCTCTTTTTTACAAGTACCAGCTGTTGAACAGGGCAGGCACAAGTTTAATAATATCATTTCACTATTTGTGCAAGCACAATTCAATTTTTGCACCCCCCCCCCCCCCCCACCCCCAATGTGCCATGCTTAATGGCAACTATTTTAAATGTTTTTTTGTAATCTGACTGCCTCTTTTTTTTGACTTTAGAGTATCTAACTCATAGTTCTTTGCCTTAACTTTGTGATGAATTAACCCGGAGCCATGAAGCTGTCAGAAACTCCCTGGCCTTTGAAAACACACCCATTGTTGATTTTAGAGCTAGAGATATTATTTGGGTCATTCTTCTATGATTTCAGTAGCTAATTAAACAACTCGTTTTGAGCTCTTTGTGGTGCCCTGGACAACTTTCCTTTCCCATATGAAATCAAACAGAATGCAAAATTGGCAGCAGAGCTGGGGGCGGGGTACTTAACTATCAAAAATGGCACTGCTGTGAATCATGCCTTTAAGGGATTTAAACTACTGTGGAATGCTATTGCTTAGGTTCCCCGCCATTGTGGTTTCTTCAATCTGTCGAGACAAAATTTGATGAAAACTAGTTGATTTTTTGCTCCCTTAATTTTATAGACTCAGGTTAAAATGACTTTGAGCCACACACGTAATATAACTAGTTTCTGGTATGCTTGAGTGTTTTTTTTTGGAAGTTTCCAACAAGCATGCTGCCTCGCCTTTTTATAGGAGAGCACACCCCCCCCCCGGCGTTTCGTTGGGAGCGCTAAGGGGCGGACAGCTCAGCTAAAGCCTCTTGTCTGCGGATAATTTTTCCTAAGGGTTTTCTCACAGCCTTGTGAGGCAAAATAATAAAATTAGTAATCTCTTACCCTCGAGTGGGTGCCCTTGTCATATAAAATCCTTCAGTTACTCACCCCTGAATTTTTTATTCCTTATTTTCAGTACGTGGTATTCATTGTAATTGGCACTGGCATTATCTTTTCGATTATTTTCCACGTGGGAGTAAAAGAACACCCACGTGACTGTAGCGTTGAATTTGTCACCAGTTCCTGCAAGAGATCAGCTGCTAATTGGAAAGCCTGGTTCCGAGAGCCGAGGTTTTATCAGGTGCTGATTTACTTAGTTATTTTTATTTATGTACTCAGCTCGGTGCCTAGTCTGCCAAACAGCTGTTTTTGTCTGGTCACGGAGAGGAGCGTAGCGTGACGAGACAAACGCGGCTGCGAGGGAGACTACTCTGTGCCGATGTTACTAAAAGTTAAAAACGGGCAACAGGGAGAGGGGAGCGGAAAGTTGAAAAATGCGAACAAATGAGAGAATTGGAAATGAAGTAACTGATAGGGCGAGGATCCAAGTTAGGTTTTGTTCCCATTTTTCATTTTCCACTTCCCCGTTCCTCGTGCTCCATTATGGTAACATCCCTCGGTAAGATATTTCAGGTAGATTGGGGCAAAGAAGTGAGAGTGTTGTCAAAAGAAAACTTTTGTCGCAATAGTTTGCTGGTACTTAAATCTACACCTCGTGGACATGGGTTGGTGGATTTTCGGCCGTTTCGGCTGAAAATTTGACCCCGATTTTGGCGGTCAAATGTTTGAACGGTTTATAGTCGTCAGAATTTTCCTATAGTCATCATGGTTCCGTTTAAACCGAACACCTGCCTACTAAATGTTCAACCGGTCGCAAGTTCGTTCCGTCCCGTGCAAAACCCGGAGGTCTACTTATTCTTCTTACGATACGAAAGCCGAACCTGATTATCGTCTCATTATTTATTCAAAATATTTCCAAGCTCAGAACGAAAGACATACTTCCCTTAAAACATTTGCCCACCCCCGGCCGTCAAGGAAGGGATGTTGATTATAGCTGATATTCTTCATTTAGCAATTTTCGTCCGTCGCACGTTTTTTTTGTATATTTTCGCCATCTTTTTAGTCAGTAGTTCGGCTATTTCATCTATAACGTGGCAATCTTCCGTCTTTTTGGTTCAGCTCTGTTGTTCCTAAACAGCTGAGCCAGCGAGCTGCCTCAGTTTGCGTGAGCTGTTTGCGTGTACCAAGGAAGGGATGTTAATTATAGCTGATATTCTTTTTAACAGTTTTCGTCCGTCGAAGGTTTTTTCTTTTTTTGTATATTCTCGCCATCTTTTTAGTCAGTAGTTCGGCTATTTCATCTGGCATATAACGTGGAAATCTTCTGCCGTTTTCTTCAGCTCTGCTGTTCCTAAACAGCTGAGCCAGCGAGCTGCCTCTTTGGGTAAGCTGTTTGCGTATCCTTTTCAGCTGATAACCATTACCTTTGACGTCATCTTCCAAATTTGGTCAACGCTACCTGGTTTTGAAGAATTATTCAGGGAATTGAAGCCATTCCGAAAAAGAGTTATATTTTGACTGACTAATACATGTACATTTATTGAGTGCACTTAATACTCTTCTTTGTTTATAGATAGGAATGCTGTACATGAGTGTCCGTTTGATCATCAATGTCACACAGGTTTACATTCCGATGTACACTCTAGAGACACTAAACCTCTCCAAGGTACGTGCATCTAAATATGCTGTTAGACGTTAAACTTTCCGTTTTGTATGTGTTTAGGAGTGATCTTGAAAGAAGAAATCCTCACCTTCTAAGACAGAAAACAGGGTATTCTCAGGGGGAAATGAGGAAGACGTCATCCATTAGACTACGAGTAGTCCCCATTTTTCCTCTACAGGGATAGTAGAGCGAGCGAAGCGCGAGCGCGCGTGAAAATCACTCCACTCGAGTACGGCGTGACGCGGCGTCTCGCCTTTCTCGCGTGGGGTGATTTTCACGCGCGCTCGCGTTTCGCTTGCTCTAATGTCCCTGAGGAAAAATGGGGACTACTCGTAGTCTAGTCATCCATATAAGAGGAAGGAAACCTGACTTGAACAGGGTGGGGACTTGTAGGGTTTGTTATGATTGTGTAATGCATTGTAGGAATATTGTGCTCTTGATTGTCGAAAGTAACTTATTGATTCCTGTGGGTAAAATTTTGCATAGCTACGCCTTTGTGGTGGCTGAAAATTCGCGCAAATTTGGCACGGCCTATCATGAATTGTCTAGCGTCTTTTCCGCGTATGTTGCAGTCTGCCTTTATTTGTTGTTGTTGTTGTCGTTTGTTTTTTCCTGCACTTTATTAAACTTCCGCGCTTAAAATTACAAATACATAACAGAAGTAGTAAAAGTTCCTAAATGATTGTTACGAGTGCGATTAAAACACAAACGCAAATCTGGGAAGAATTTAATGCAATTGTGCCCTTTTATGTTTTGTTTTAGATCATTCTAGCTTCATGGACTAACTTTTGTTTGTTTGTTTTTCTTAGCAAACTATCGCCATAATGCCTCTTGTGGTCTACGTAAGTGGACTGTTGTCTACGTTTTTCACAAAGCCACTGAACTTGTATCTGGGCAGAAAGGTTCGTTGCTTTAAGAGCCTTCCCTTTCAGCGTCCTCGGATCCCGAGAGCGTGCTTCCCTTAATGGCCTAAAAGGGAAGGCCACGCCTGTAAAGGATACCTTTTCCAGGCGTCAAGTATATGAAAGGGTTGGAATTTCTCTAGTTAAAGTACGTGAAAGGGTTGGGAAAATTGTAAGCAAGTCACAACTCCTTTCGCGGGACAAAAAACCCGCGTTTAAGGTTATTTCCTTGTTCTGTACTGCGCATCACCTAGTGCGCAAATCATTGCGACTTCATAGGTGGCGTTCATTCTCGACCCTAGTACTCCCCCTTCTGACTCACAACTCTGGTATCGAGACTGAGGTGGTGTTGATTTTCACCGGTCGCCTAAAAAGATGTAATTATGGCCCCATTTGTAGTCCAAATGCTTTTAATAGCGATTTTGATAATTCTACCTGGCTTAAAAGGTGTTTGTCTTGAAACTCGCCCAAGTCCTCTCGCGCAAAATGATCATTTGAAGCCGAAATTATACCTTCGTTGTTGGTTTGCTGTGAAACGAGAACGGTGACTTCCCTTTTTTAATTGTATTTTTTACTCGTTATGGCCACACAAAATATATATTAGAGAGAAAAAATCAGGACACAAGAAGTTGTATTTTTTTAGTTGTGAGTGACGCGAATTTCCGCATTTAGATCGGCATTTAGAGCCACAGAGAATTATGAAATAATGATGTCCATTTCTCTACAGGTTTTTTTCAAGATCTGGTAATTTGAGTTCTCTTAACTGAAAAAAATATAGCCCAGACCAACAAATGTGCTTAAGGTTTTAGTAAGGTTCATAGTGTTTGCTATAAAATAAGAATTTTTGACGGTTGTTTAAGTTTCGAACACTTCGCGCGCAGCTAGGAAAAAACACTCAGAATTACAGGCACACAGGGCGAAAACAAGTCGGTGACGCCATCTTTTTATTGCAGTTTTTGAATGTCCTATACATGGCTGACTTTTGTGCCAAGTTTGAAAAAAATCTGTATGGTACATCATTTTCAAGGGAATTACTTTAAACGCACCTGAACCCCGCGAATTCAACCGTAGTAATGCACCCGAAACAAATTTACAGAGCTGCCTGTTGTGGGCGGAAGACCTTGGCTCTACATAACAACTGGATAATCCCTCCATTTTGTCACTTTGCAGGTTGTTTTTTTTGTAGGCCTGTTGATCATAATGGGAACCAGGTAAGCCGGACGATATGTACCATAGGTATAGCCTCGGTTCATTTCGCAGTCCGCGATAATGGGCGCTTTTTCTTCGATCGCCCTAACCAAAGGGAACCTGATCGCGGGGTAATCAGTATGTATGCAGTGGATTTTCGCTAGTTATTTGATAAGGGATTTTTGTTTTCGATTTTTAAAAGTAGTTCTCTCAGTTATGGCAAGTGTTAGAACTATGTTTTCATGCCTTGTAACTGAGGGGCTGGTTTTGACAAGCACGTTTAAGATGGGCCGGAGGCGGGGGGTGGGGGGGTCGGGTAGGGGGAGAGGAGGGCAAAATAGTTAAGAAGGAGCTTACTCAATTTAGCGGAACGCAGTGGTTGTAGGAACGTACCGTGCTTTGATCAGCCAAAGTCTTAATCTTTGATCATTAATTTGTGATGAAAAGTATTCTTTAAGTAACTTAGACTACAGTGGAGGTCGGGGAAGGAAATTTAGGGGATGCTTAAAAGGATGGGGTTATTTTGAACAACTGTCTTCCCATAGAAAAGGGGGGCTTCATTGAGAGGGGCGGGGCTTAACCGAGGATTTTCGTTAAATGGTGTCATTGTGACACCATCTTCAAAGTTACAAACTTCCTTGACTGACATTGGCGAAATTTTGAATCAGAGAGGTCGATTTTGGTGTCTTGCTTGTACTTTTTCTTTCATTTCACTGTAATTACATGTACACGATGTGCTCTATATGAGAGTATGTAGAGATTGCGGTGCACTCTTAATATTAGCGGTTGATGATCCCAATTGATTCTGGGGGTGATCCGGAATTTATTTCCGTGTTATCTGTTTATCCAGTGTTTGGCTGTGGCTGATACCCCAGCATAGCTCACAAATGTATGGCGCCAGTGCCGCCCTGGGATTTGGCGGATCAATGCTATTGGTTACTGTGTTGACAATGCTAGCTGATCTTATTGGACAGAACGTGGTAAGAAAGCTTTCACTAAGAACTCGGGGTGAGCCATGGAAGGGGGCGCTGTTTCGCTGCGAAGAATATCATTTCGAAATGATATCATTGTGGTATAAAAGTTAAAGAGCTTTTGGGATAGAAAAAGTCTTAGTATCAATCACTGCAAAGAAAGTTGTGCTAGCATGTGTAAGGATACCAAAAGAGATAAATCCTTTTCGTTACAAGTCCTACCTATAGAAGCCTGTCTCATGCCGAATGTATCGATAATTTTCGCGCCCCTGTGCTGTCTTTTGAATTTAAATCTATAGCACAGTAGCGCGTGTCTTAGCTGACAAACAAGTTCACTTTGCTTCCTTTAATTTTTTTTTTTTTTCAGCTGAGTTAATAGGGTTAATTTTCCACCTTAAAGGGATTGAAAGGCTGACGTTTCGAGCGCCACAACTTCTGCAAAGCTCCTGCGAAGGACACACAGAGTGCTCGAACATGGCGTCAGCTTTTCAGTCCTTTAACGGTGATAATTACATTGACTTTGTCAACTAAGTTGAAAACATCAATTTTTTTTTCCTCCCTAGCCGGTATAGGACCGGAGTTTCTAGTGATTTTAGTTCCCTCTTCTGTAACGTTGCGTGACGACACAAAGAACGGCTGCTGCATAGGAGACTAGTTCCCCTTCAGTCACTTTGTCGCGTTGGCTTAGAGCTTTATAGCTTTTATACATTTAAATCCTTAACTTAAATTAATACCTCCATCTTGAATGCAAACTCATAAAACATAAAACAGCTTTCCGCCCAAATGAATACCGGAACATCAATCGCGAACTGAGAGGGGCCACAGATTCCTCTGTGAGCGACTTTTGTGTGTTTGTTTGCTGTCTTGTAGGGATCACGTGAAACGAAATATTCAAATCAAACGTGCAATTGTGAACCTGATACTGATTTCAATCTAGTCTGTGTAGCCTATGAGCAGGCTTACTTGCACGTGCGAGTTTCGAGGCATTTTCCCCAAAACGCACAATTGAGCCAGCTCGCAGGCTGTAGCCCGCGTGATAGGCCTTCGAATAGCGCGTGCCCAGGAACTTGTAGGGCGTGGACTTCGCGTTCTTCGCGTTTTCTACTCAAGGGATTTGATACAGATGATTTATGAGCTAGGTTCGCAGACACTCTACACCGGCCAGAATATAGGTTTTAGTGATGCGTGGGCAGGCTGCAACGTTGGTTAAGTGAATTCTGGAATCTTTTCGGTGACCGGGAGTTAACAACTCTTCTGCTCTATTTAACTCCCCTCCGTTAAAAAAACGTTATAAACACTCCTGGGAACGCCTACAATTGTAGCCTGCTTAGCAAGCGTTTCCGCTTCCGTTTCCGTGCGGTTTCTGAGCAAAGAATGAGGAACGTTTGTCAAAGCCCCACTTTTCGGGCAGCCAAACCCGAAAATCCCATTCCTCGTTATTCTTCGGTCTTTCTTTGCTCCGAAACCACACGAAAACGCTTGCTACGCAGGCTACGGAATGCCCCCATCACTGTATACGTGTATTGTGTATAAGAGAACCAAATATAGGATCCTGCTGATCATCTAATGAACCGATCAAATGTACTGCTTTCATATCAGGAAACTGGGGCCTTTGTCTATGGAGCCATGAGTTTTATGGACAAGATGTCAAACGGAATTGTTATACAAGTCATTCAAGTGTTTTGTCCAAAGAACAGCTACCCAAAGTAAGACAAACAAACGTTTTAAATGCCTTCCATTCGCACATAAATGATATAGGGTTCAGAGCATGTTTCACAGAACTTCCATTTGGTTTAGGTATGAGTTCTTTAGTACGTTCCCTTGCCTTCCTCGCGCGTACTTGCAATCGTCTTCAAAACGAACAAATTCCTCTTTCCCTTGTTTTTGTTCAGTTATAGATCACGGACTGTGATGAAAGAGAACAGTGAACGCAGGTTATCCGCTTACTGGCTTTTTCAAATTTTGTTGACCTGTGCCTGTTGAACCCATGCTAATAAAGGCTTTGCCGCATCCTTTCCTGGGCCCGGTTGCATAAAACGAACGTAACAACTACGGGTATACGTACGTGCAAATCACTTAAGTGGTCCACTTAGGGAATTCACTTAAGTGGTTGCACTTACGATTTTCGTAAGTGTTCACTTAAGTGTCGTTTATGCAACCGAAATTGCGGGTGTTGCATAAAACTTTTTTACGGCAAAAATAGCACGTAAATTTACGAGACCTATGTAGGTCCCTTATCTTTACTGTTTTTACTAAACTTAACGAGATCTTTTACTGAGAAGTGAAAAAAGTATTTTTCTTCACGTTATTCGTTTTAATGCGCTTTGTTAACCTCTGATGTACACTTTAAAGCCGACGTGGTGAAAAAAGAAGAAGAACTATCATTTTCAGTAGAAATTGATGAAAAATAACGTCTGCATGCAAATTTCATTTTTTTGAGAGGCTTGAAAGTGTTCGAAACAACTTAAAACTTTCTTTACACTCACCGATGGTTAGCTTAAAAAAAAGAGTGAGTCATTAATGAAGTACTATATCAAAGTTACGTGTGCCTGTAAGTGAGCCCGTAAGTTACCACGTAAAACAGAAACTTACGAGAGTGCTAAGTGCGTTCCATGCAGCACACGTAAGTGTACCCATAACCGGCCTGACTAGTTTTATGCAACTGGGCCCTGGCGCGCACTTCTCGACCTGGTCGCACCAAGTTTCATAAACAATAAATAGGCTTTTACAAAGAACTGAAAGGTATTCTTTTATTTAATAGGGACAACGCTGGAGGTCTTTATTACAGAGAGGTTATGGTTTTCGCATCGGGAGTCGCAGCAGTTCTTGCTCTTTTAACCTTGGTCACATTGTTAAAGAGAGACGTAGGCGAGGATTGCGAAGGTGTGTTACCAGTTACGTTATCTTGCAAGTGGTTGTTAGCGATGCCTCTTTTGAAAACGGAGCCATTCAGTTTTACCGCTGTTTTACCGTTAGGAGAAGCCTAATGCTTTCCAAATGTAAATTTGGCGTTTTAGCTTGAGAGCCAGACTATATGATAGTTATATGTACTAAACTATAAAAACAGTTTTTACCCTCAGTGGCGTCGAAAAATGGCAGAGATTTAATTCTGCGATATTTTAGTTTTAGAAATCTTTTTTCACTACAACGTTAACTTCCTTTAAGCAAACACCCAAAATGCCACTCAAACTTGGTGATCGCTTGCTGGGCAGATCCAGAGAGGTCAAACAGAGGGACCCGAGGCTTAAAGTGGGTCAACTTTATAGATACTATTCATTGATTGAAGAAATCTTAGAGCATTTGTGTCCAGAAATTAATGATCCGGCAGACAGAATTCAAAAGAGTTCAAACCCTTCGGCTCCCCTCTAAATTCGCCCTTGACCAGCGGGAGATGGCCGCTTACGAGAGATTCAAACTACTTATTATGAGGCTTTGACTCGAAAATTTGATCTTGATATTTGGATGGAGGTTTGCTTGCGATAGTCTGCGAAAACGGACGTTTCTCCTCGGTCATCGCCGCTGAGGAACGTCCTAAGCGGCGAGGAAAAATGGCCGTTTTCGCTGGGTACGCTTACGATAGGTGGTGCTTATCTCTATCCCTTTTCTTCCTTAGAAAAACAGGGAGAAACAGAAAGTCGATTGCTTACATCTGGCTCATGGTCCTTGGTGTGCTCTAGAGGGCCCTGTATTCCGTGCGAGTCCTCAGGTCACTTCCCCGGGCGAGAGGCAATGACTCCAGAATCAATACCTTTGTATGGTGCGACAGACCCAATTTAAAAGAACAACTAAGCAGCAACACGATCAACGCTAAACGGATACCTTGTAATGTTATTTTTTTGTGTTCATACTGGAATTACTAATTACCTGATTACCTTTAATAATTCCATTCAGTTTCAAAACAACGAAAATACATGTAACTTAAATACAAGATCACCTTAAAAAGGACATAGTTGTAATGACCAACACTTTCTCCGTAAAATACATTTAAGCAGAGTTATGGAACAGTTCGGCAAGAAAATTTTAAAAACAAAAAAATCGTTTTAATTTGTTAAATTATAAGTAACTTATATAATTATAAGTAATTATGTCAAGTCTTTGGTGCAACATAGTTGTAAATATTTTAAAGTATATATTAGATTTCACTGAAGCTCTTCTTGTCTGGAAGAAAACACGAAGAGCTTGTTCATGTAAATAGAGAAAAAGAAATTACCTTGTCAACAAGAAATAGCCCAGGTCTTTCTGGAACTATAGGGGACACATCACGTAGGGTGGCTATAAGAAACTTGAACATTAGGCCTTCGTTGCATGGGCTAGGCGAGAGAAGATGTGACTCTCTTGGTATCGGCTGTTATTTTCTCCCGGTGCTTTGCAAAAAGGTGTGCGGTTGACTAATCTTGCACGAATATGGATCCAAGTAGCCTGAGAAAACAACCGACATCTCGCCACGCCACCGGTGATTTTCCCGCGATATGTCGTCTGAGAAACGAGCGCAGAGGTTCAATACTAAGATCGTATCACTACTCAGATGTGGTTAGTGCTTCTGATTGGATGAAGCAAATTTGCAACCAATCAGTCATTAGTATTGAATTTCTGCAGTCCTTCTTCAGAAGTCATTTCAAGGGGGAAATCACCGGTGATGTTGCGAAATGTCGAATGTTTTCTAAGGCTACAATCATGGACAAAGTTCTTGGGACACTTGCATTTCTGGCGCGTTTTCCAATTCACACATGCCAAACCCCTCCCCTCACCCCACAAACAACGTTTTACGCGAGTATCCACAATTTTTCCAAGTTTCAACTTTGTTTAGTAAGAAAGAACTGCTAGAATATTCCGAAAAATATGCACTTTTGTATGAGGGAACCCAGAAAATGCCGAAAAATATGAATACTGTATTACTGTCCCAAGGACTTTTGTCTATGATTTTAGGATCGAAGACGATTGTGATCAGTAAAAAAGACAGTATTTACATGAATGAGCAACTCTCAGAAATAAAAGGCTAACAGAATAGTTCATCTGGGTACCAGTAGACTTAATTATTAGATTCACAAGATTAAATTAAAAAGCTTACGAAACAACATGTTAAGACGTCACTGAAAGGACAGTTCATCTCAATGGCAGGCACCAGTGGACAAAATAAGGTTCACAAGATTAAATTAAAAGGCTGATAGAAAAACATAAAACATATAAAAGACGTTACTACTGGATATTTTATCTGACCACCAGTGGACTTAACGAGGTTCAAAGGATTAAATTTGCTTTTTTAATGCAATGAGTGAAGTTTCTGAGAATATGACGTCGTTAGACTGAAGCAGTCTCTCTTTCTTTTAGTCCGTCGAGTGAAACGTGCGAGAGACGAAAATGACCACGGGGCCTCGTGACTGAGGGCTCAAGGGGTGAGAGGCAAGAGCTTTAATTTGCCGCTCGTCATCGACGCTCGCGCGCGTGTGCACTCCCATCGCTAGGTCTGAAGAAGAGGAGAGACTGTTCGCAGTCTATGACGTTGTCGTCGGAGGTATACTAGCTTAGCTATAGCTCGGCCATAAATGTGACAGAATCCTAACAGAAAATGAAGTAAAAAGAGAAGATAGCTAGAAAGTGAACTACTTCTTAGTCCTATGAAAATCTCTTTATTAACTCCAGTAGTTTAAGGCCCGGGACTAAGGGATTTACCGGTGGAGAATGAATTAATGATTATAACTTTGGCATAGATGATGGCGCTGAATCAAAATTTGGCACACAAAAAACTCATCGTGCTTAATATTTTAAAGTATAAACGTGTTAACAAGTCACGGGAAATGTTGCGTGACTATTTAGCTAAAAATCGTAGATTATTGACCAATTGGTGGCCGGTTTAAGAAAAGAAATCCAGCAATAACATTTTTCTAATTTGTATTGAAATTAATATTTTTAAGACTTCACGTTTGGAAAAGTCTTAGAATGACCGTCCATTGCACTTCAGTAAAAAAAGACTATGAGTAAAAACATTATTTTCAATGCCCAAATTTAATCTTGAATCAATTAAAACTTAAAAACTCTAGGTATGTCTATCCTCTTTTAGAAATGTAAATTCGCGACCAATTCGCCAATTTCATTTTCAACTTTTGGTGTCACGTGACCATATTTAAGAAAACCTCAAGATTACTTTTAGGGAAAAATTCATTTTATTCTAGGTCTCATAGCGACAGATATTGCCAATGAGTCTTATGCTCAGAACACACCTTTGAGAAGACAGTTCCTCGAGCTCTATCTTCTGTAGAGGAAAAATTAGAAGTAAGAAAGAATTACCCTTCCCATTGTCTCCAGTTCGCTCTCTTTGCATATTCTGAACGCATAAAATCATTATTTCAAAGTCTTTAAAGTTGACCAGAAAGATTCCAATGAAAATCTTGTTCCACTACCTCGGTCACCTCCTTAAAGTTTTCCCTCAAAATTTTCCCATCGAAAAGAAGCCTAATAATTGCCTTTCTAGCTAATGGGGAAAAAACGGAGAACGTGGCAAGAAATTCGGGAGGTTGTTGGTCGAATGTTTGCTTTCTGCGCATACCCAAACTTCAAAAACTTTTAGCATCAGGGACCGCACTCTCGTTCCCAGAGTCCAGCAAATAGGTTCCTTTACCTAAGATTTGCTAGCTTGTTCCAGACTCCAAGAGATTGTTAAAACTGGTGCGAGAAGCACGCGGGGGTCTGGGGAGAGAGAAGGCGTCGCCGCCCGCCCCCGGCTTTCACCTTAGCTTTCACCACTCAGCGTCAGTGACCTTGTTTTCGTGTTGTCTTTTCGCGACTTCCCTGCTATCTGAGAGCATGGCTTTAGATTTTCAGACAAATGGTTACGTGACATATTACTTAATTAACTACCGCGCCGTACGGCTCCAGGTACCAGATTTTGATTCATTCCGGATTAGCCTCCAACGGAGATGTTAAGTTTTTAGGGCTTTGTCACGCGTTCCTTCCCAATGAGGCGGATTACGTGACCAGCCACAAGAACGCCAGCGTGGGAGCCAAGGGCCGGATACGCAGACAGATGAAAATCAAATCAAATGTTTCAGGGGACGGCGCTTTTCTCCAGCAATTACGATAGTTCACTCTTGTCTCCTTTTCTCAAAGGTTTGACATTTTATGCCTCTTCAATTTCGTACTCGGCTTGACTGGATTCATTTACTTTTTTTATCTTTTTTTTTCTTCACTTTTTACATACGTTTCTCTTACATTATGCAAAGGAAGTTAAATCCCTTTTTCGCAGGTGAACACGTTCTCTTGCAATATAAAAAGGAAAAAATCTTTTCTCTCCTTTTTTGCAGGTGAACATGTATTCGTCTTGCATTTTGAAAAGAAAACAAAGTTTCATTCCTTTTTTGCACTCATGCATGTATTTATTTAATGTTCTCTTAAAAACAGATATTAATCGCATCCAATTTTGGTGTAACTGATCGAGGTCGTACGATCAGGCTGTTATCACGAGTTCACTATGTGAGCTCCAACGCGGTTTCCGAACAAAAAGATTCAGTTCTGGGGTGCTGGTCATGTGAGCCGAAGTGACGCAAGCCGTAATTTAGACGGGGACATTGTTTTGAATAACTTTTAGCGTGCGGTAACTCCATCTGCACAATAAATAACTATAGGCCTATAAAAAGAAGGATTATTGTTTTGTTTTTTATCTTGTTCAGCTGCATGAAAAAACATGTTCGATGCGTGCGTTGAAAACTCGATGGTCATACCCAACATACCCGGGGTGCAATGAATATTATAAATCCCAGAAGATGGGGATGTGAGATTGGTACAAATAAGAAAAAAAGGGGAAAATAGCTACTTGCCCAAGTAAATGGAATCAGAGTGAAACTTTTAAAGTTACAGTTTTTGCAAAAAGCACAAGCTGATTTTTGCTTGAATGGATACTGACAAACAGGCTCCCCAACATAGCCCGGTGGGGAGCCTTTGTTCATCATATGACTCACATTCACGTGATCTCGGTGCGAAATTATAAAAATTCATTTGATTGAGGAGTTCAGTAGTTGTGATTAACCAGTTGTACGAAGGAAATGGAGTTTTAAAATTAGCGAAATGAGGGTAGTTGAGTTAATATAATACAAGAACATTTTACTTCTTGGCGATCGTTAAATACAGGTGAGATAGTCCACACACTTGATCTTAAGTTTTATAATTTCCGTGACACGTACAGATCTAGAATTTCTTATGTAAGCCTTAATGCGGTGTTTTCATTTATTTTTAAAAGGTCTTTAACTCGTCTTACCTTTTTTTGACATAGACTTCAGTAACAATGGCCCGTTGTATCGAAGGAAAACCAAAAATGACATGGAGAACAAGAATTTGTTACGGGGTTGGCCATATTCTAAATGACTTGTGTGCCTCAATGTGGTTTACCTACTTGTTAGTCTACCTTCACAAGGTCGTAGAATTCTCAAACGTGGCTGCAGGGACTTTGCTGTTGATTGGACAAATCGCCGATGCCCTCGCCACGCCTTTCGTTGGAATAGAATCCGATAAAACTGGGGACTGCAGATATGGCCGAAGAAAAATCTGGCACCTTGTTGGAGTTTCGTGTGTAGCGTGTTCATTTCCGTTCGTTTTCAATCTGTGCATTGGTTGCGAGAACTCATCGACCTGGGCGCTATTTATTTACTATGTTCCATTTATTGTGATTTTCCAGTTTGGCTGGGCATCTACGCAAATTTCTCATTTAAGCTTGATTCCAGAACTTACTGATAAAGAAAGTGAGAAAGTCAACCTAAATGCTATTAGGTAATAGTTTACTTGACTAAACCATGTTTACTCGTCAAATATTTCCTTGTAACTTTATAGTTGATTACTTAAATGTGGCTGAAAATTCCCGCTAAATCGGCTTATTTTTCCGCGAATTTGTCCTTTGAATCCCTCGAAATTTGACTTTTTTCCCCTCGACTTAACAGAAGCCCTGTCTTGCATTCCCAGACAGCTGTTATTGCCGCCAATTCTACCCCCTCCCCAGCCCTCTTGGTGGAGCAATGCTCATAGTCACTGGTTATGGGTGTCCTACAGTAAACCTTATTTTGGCCCCAGTCTTGAGTCAGTCCTGAGCTTTGCGAGGTCCTGCAATACACTTATCTCTAGTTAGCTTTGAGCACTGGGTATGCCGCTGAAGCCCCTAAACCCTGACCTTATTTAAGACCAAAACCATTCAATTCATGACCCTACGTAGTGCAATTATGTACCCTTTTCAGTGTCACATCCCTGTTTATATGCGAATTAAGAGTGTTCCTCTTCTCCTTCCCAAGAGTATAACACACCAAAAGTGAGATGAAGATCATATCTGATTGGCAGTAGTGTTGAAGAAGTCCTTAGGCACGAATTCTGAATATCCTGAAAGGTCTAGATAACAGCAGCAATATAGATAGCCGCATAAACATAACAACTTTCTTTAATTTACCAGACATGTTTTGACGATACATCGGTCATCTTCAGTGTTGCATATTGTGAAATCGCCATTGAATTTCAATCGCGTACAATGTTGTCCCGAAAGGTTTTAATTTGGTTTTGTAAAGTAGAATTTTAGGTTTAATAATTTCAAACCCTGAGGCCTAGTCATTACATAATACTCAAAGTATTTAATATGCAAGAATACCCCTACCCTGGATTACCTAGCAACTGGTCCAATGTTCCCCCCAAATTCCATATTTTGTTTGTTCTGATGAAACATTGAAGCTGGTCTTTAAATCCATTTGTGTCTCCTAAACAAATGTTAAACCCAATTAAAGGGGAGTATTTAAGATCGAGTAGTGATGTAAATTACATTGTTCATTCATTCCTTTTTTTGTTTATCTGCTTTAGAAACTAGTCTTATAGTATAGTAAAGTTATATATTATAGGAAATTGAGTAATTTTAATTTTCAGTGGACAAAAGCCTTGTACCAGAATTCATAATTTCAAGCATATTGCATTCTTTTTTACTTTTTTTGAGGGCTATAAATGTAATAATTATATGAAATAACTCCAAAAAAAAATTTCTTATACACTGTAAGAGCTCAAAAAAACAAACTTCAAAAGCTTCAAATTTCACAAGATGAAATTTTCATGCATGACAATTTTAACTGTGTTTTCTCAATTCTTTTGAAATTTGACATTTATTTTTGTGGGCTCCCTTAAGAAATTGTCTTGGATCTTATTACAGATAACTAATAAATTATTACTTTTATTAAGCCCTTGAAAAGTATAAAAAAGAATGCTTTATTATTTAAAATATTCTGGAACAAGATTTTTGTCCACTGAAAATTAATTTTACTCAATTTCTTGATGGATTCTGTCTTTATGTCCTTTTTTGTCTCTCACAGATATGCTTGCACGGTTTCGTCCAACATTTATGTTTTCTTGGTGACCTGGGTTCTTATTTCCACTGAAGGTGGAGGCTCATCAAAACTTGATCCTTCTGATTCAACAACATTTATGGTTTGTTGATTTAGCTTTTACAAGTACTTTTAGTGAGTCATATATGTACAGCACTTGCCAAAAGTAATTATTTACTTATTAAGCTGAAGGTTTAAGTGTATATGGTTTTTTAAGTGATGAGGCCTTAGTTGAAGTAAAATGAGTGAACTCTTAGACCTGTATTGATTCATGGACTCTTTTTGAGGTGTGGGTGTAAAAATTTTCTCATTATTCTCATTATTATTATTATTATTATTATTATTTAATAAATATTATTATTATTATTTATTTTCAATTTTTTATTTTTATTTTGTTTCGCAAAAGCATGTTAGATTGTTTTAATCAAGGTCTGAATTCTCCCATCTGTGTTATCCCAACAAAGATAAAAGAAAAGACAGCCACCACAAAATTTTGTTACACTTGCCTATACTGTCGTCCTGATAGATCTGTCTGTTTCATAGGAGGTACATGTACATAAAAGAGATTTTATCATTCAGGAAGTACATGTACATTGAAAAAACAAACAAACAAGCAAACAGTAATTCCTAAATTCCTAAATTCCTAAATTCCATTTTTACTCATAGTTGTATTTTCTTATTTTCTTCTTTCAGTATGTTGTATTTATTGTGGTGGGAACAGGTCTTCTCTTCATGCTTATTTTTCACATTGGACTTAAAGAACCCCCAAGAAGTTGCACATTTAGTGGGCAAGCAGCAGTTAAAGGCAGTAAAAGAAGGGCAGACAATTGGATCCACTGGTTTAAAGAAATACAGTTTTATCAGGTTTGTAAAAAAAAACCAGCCTACATAAAGAATTCATGCTGCAAGAAAAAAGGCTGCATAAACAAGACTGTTTTTGGCATGGTAACATGAGAATTATTTTTGGCATTGTAACATTATTTAGAAGTTTAAGGTTAAGTTGCAAGCACTAAAGAATGAAGTATAGATCAGAGGTTAAGAAAGAGATTCTAAACCCTTTACATCTCTGGTAACCTCATAATTACAAAAATTTCCATATGGGGCTTCTTTGGAAAGATGTGTGCAAGATACATTACATGTACTGTACTTCTTTTTAATTAAAAGCAATTTGAAAAAGATGGGACTTCTTAAATCAAATTTTCAGTTACAATTGGCAGCAAAATTAGTTAGAGACACTTTTTACCCTTTTACAAACGGCTTCTCTAACGTTTTGCAAACTTCAAAAACAGAAAATACCGTAAATGACCTTAAATGCCCACTTCCAAATAAACGCCTCCTATCTGTTAAACACCACCTCTATGCTGTTAAAATCATACTAGATGCCCCCCTGTGAGAATTACTCCAAAATACTAGGAATTACCAGAGAGGAGTGAACTCATTCGATTCATTCAGTTTCCTGCTTGATTATTAACAAGGCTTTCAATGTCATGTTCAAAGTAAGGATAGACCAACGATAGCAACACCAGGGTTAGCAAATTTTATTGATGAGTGGAGTCAGTGTGACTTCTGCTTAACACATTTTGGAGTCATTTTGGAATATTTGGAGTCAAGTATCAGACTTTCCAGCACGTGGTCCCGGCATGTATACACTATCGTGAGGGATACACGAAGTAGCTGTGGCGGTCCGCTGACCTGGAAAGCTCAAATCCATGATGGCGGTCATCGAGTAAACTTTGATCGTAATTTACCCTCTTCCTGTTTTGTCGTGGAGTATAATTCTTTAATTTCGATGATTTAATTAAGGTTTACAACGTTTACAATTAACGTAAATTGTATTTGTTGCGAAAAAGGTAAGGATAAAACTGTGTTTGTTACCGAAAATTTCTTGAGTCGAAGTGGCTCCCTGTTTGTTACCGAAAATTTTTGGAGTCAAAGTGACTCCCTCAGTAACCTCAGTGGAGTCATCTGAACAATTTTGGCGTAAAATACGCCAAATTTGGCGTATTTGCGAACCCTGCAACACAATAACCCTGAGTGAAGATTCTGACATTGATGTCAGGATTTGAAAGGTCAATATGGATCTTTAGACGGCCTAGACTAGCGTATTAATTGATGGAGTGGATATTCCACTATTTTCAAACTCTTCTGATATTTTCATCGAAAGCATATTTGGGTTCGTTGAGCTTGTTACAGTTATGAGAATAAACACCTCTCCCTAAACACCCCTGCTTGGACCCCTAGAATTAAATAGATGCTCTGGGTATTTATTGGGTCAGTTACAGTAAGGCGTCCCTCCCCCAACCCCGCCCTCCATGCATTTTTGTGCCACTCTTTGAGCTACCTGTGGCTTAACATTGAATGAAGAGGAGAGGGCAGTGCTCAACACTAACGCTAGTCCACTAGCCCAGGACTAGTGAAAATTCATGCTGGGCTAATAAAAGTGTCCTCCTACTAGCCCCTAGACCAGAAGCTTACCGCAGTTTTTTTTCCTAAATCACTTTATCAGTGATTAATTTTTTAGCTTGAGTATCGAATGTAAACCAAAGGACTCACTGTTCTATAGTGGAGGTATTGTAGCTTAGTATTGATGCCATGTTGGTCATTTTAATCCTTCTATTTTTTTTTCTTGGCAGGTGGCAGCTTTGTACATGTGTACTCGTCTCATTGTCAACATTACACAAGTTTACATTCCTATGTATACTTTGGAAACATTGTCTCTAAACAAGGTATAATTAATTTTTTTCAGGGCTGCAAGCATGAGATTTCAAGTCCCTATGTAAATGCAATAAGTCGGCAGGGAATTAAACAGCTAGGAAATTCTTTTGGTTCTGTTTGTTTGGGTCATATATATGTTTGTATTCATAGCTGCGTGGGCAGGGAAAATCCCAGCCCTGGCCCTTATTGACAACCTTGTTATTAGTATTAACTAGTGATAATTACAGATAAGGGGAGTGCGTTCGATTGGGGAAGTGGGGGGGATGAGTGGTAGCCATAAGGGGGTGCAAAAGGTGATGAGCTTGTAAGATAGAGAAATCAAAATCAAACACTTTTATCAATACGAATATCAGCAGCTGTCCTCATCAGTGTTATTGTTTATCCTCCCACTTGACAACTCATAACTATTTCATTTTTCTAACAACCAGTTGTTTTAGGGAAGCCAAGAGGCGTCCTTAATTTTACACTTTTTCCCGGTCTACATCTCCAACACTTTCCTAAGGATCCTTGCTGACCCCAAAAATCAGTTATGGTCCTCAGATTTTCTTTTGACCTTAGTGGTATTGTCCCCAATGCCCCCACCACTATGGGAATCACCTTTTTGTCCTTACACCCCACATCTTTCAGATTTCTCTAGCGAGATCTTGATATTTTTCTACTTTCTCGTCCTCTTTTGCTCTCATCATCATTATATTATTATTATTATTAATATTATTATTAATGCAGTGCGTAAGAAAGAAAAATATCTGAACTTGATCAACAAAATGAGTAGAAATTACAGATGTGTGAGATTTGTAAGTCTCTTCATGAGTTCCCTTGGCGTTTTCTCCGTTGAATGCCTCTCATTCTTCGATATGATGAATGACATTGGCATTGACAAAAAGCAGCAGCGTTATATAATCAAGAAAATGATAAATATAGCCATTAGAGCAACATATTACATCTTCTGTTGTAGAAATAGGAACTGGGATAGCCCAGACTTAATGCAATTTTGATTTTTTTTTTTGGCTTTTGTTTTGCTTTGTTTTTTTTTCTTTGTAATAGTCCAATCAAATGTAAATTGCCTATACATAGCGAGATTTACAATTGCACATTCAAAAAAACAAATCAAGTTTCCATTATAAATCCATTGAAAAATTCAGATATTGTTTTTGTTTTGTTTTAGTCCGATGCCAATTTATTGCGGTTTTCCCAAAACCTTCCTTGTGTGTTTTGTTGTTGGTTCTAGGACACCATTGCCAAAATTCCCTTGGTTGTCTATGTTAGTGGTTTCCTTTCAACGTTCCTAACCAAGCCACTAAACAAGTGCTATGGGAGAAAGGTAAATGCATACAATATGACTTGAAATACTTTTAATAATTTAAACTCGTGAACAAAAATAATGCTCATGAGTGGAGGTGATTGAGAAGCTGGTGGAGCTGAGAACTGCAGCCGAGTGCAATTCATAACCATGACAACTCTGTGAGTGGCATCCACCGAGGCACCATCACACTACTAATCAGTGGAACCTAATACTTATTTTATACTTACCAAGGAGAGAGCAGGGTGGCAAGCGAAAATACTAGAACCACATGCTGTGAGCAGCAACTTGAACATAACGGCCTGACCTCAACATAGAAACTGTAAAAACGCATTAGGCACAGCTGTACATGTAGCCATTAGAGTGCCCCTGATAATCTCGTATGAGAGACTGCTGGCCATCTTTGTCTCCAGTTTATAAGCTAGCCTAAATTTTATCTAGCAACATTATACTAATTTCACGTGAAGGAAAAGTTATTGTCCTGAAATGTAAATTCACGAACCTTTAAGGAATGACTGTTTTTTATTAAAGGCCACTGAAAAAAAGATAACTTTAAATCACAGTACGTCCAATCTAAAAGAAAAGAAATAACTTTTAGATTCACAAATTGTTAGGAAAGTCTTTCCTAACAATGAAATGTTTTAAAACAGATAAGTTATTAAGACCGACTTGTTTTACAGTTTTCTGTATAGTCTATTTTAATAGTTAAACTTTTGTAACTATTTTAATAGTAAACTTGATTTCAATCACTTTTGAGTGGTTGAAATCACTGGTAAAAACGTCCATAAACTAAATTGGAATCTTAGAAAGACTTAAAAGTATATGTTTCAACCTCAGTTAAGAAATATTATTTTTGTATCTTCTTTCAGGGAACATTTTTTCTAGGTCTTCTCTTAATTGCAGGGACAAGGTATGTCCGTCTTTTATCATTATAGAAAGTAGCCTTGACTGTGATCTGTTCTGTTGTAAATTATACAGGAAGAGTTCCTGTGAAGTGTCTGGGTAAACTCGTGCCCGCGTCATGCGTCTTTGAATCTCAACTTCGATGTCAAAATCCTTACTATGAACTGGACATAACTGAACAAGATGCAATGTGGACAATATTGTTAATCGAGCTAGAGACAGAATAACTTGAATTGATTTTTCTTGCCTCGCTTTTTCCTAGTAGCTTGTTTAGAGCATGCGGGACGGGGCGTGCCCGCGTCATGCGTCTCGCGGGGCGTCTTTTAGACAGGGTGGGCGGCGCGGGGGGGGCATTTATTAGAGAGGGGGATGTAATAGAAACTTAAAAGCGTGGGGTGGCGTGTTTATTAGACAAGACCCGTTGATTTTGATTCAAGAGAGCGCATCTATTTGATCATTGTCGATTTATATGGCTTCCTGTGGTATCACACTGATCTTTTTGCTATATTTTCTTGTTTATCCACAGTTTATGGATGTGGTTTATTCCAAAGGGCCACCTCTTACAAACATATGGAGTATCAGTGTTGTTAGGTGTTGGTGGATCCACGCTTCTAGTTACTGCCCTGACTATGTTAGCAGATCTTATTGGGGAGAATGTGGTACGTGTGTTTGCCCGTTGAAGGCGTTGTGATAGGACGAGTAATAGGGAACTTAGATGAGTTAAGTTAAAACCCGCGATTAAGAACCACGTTTTTTAGAACCTGTTATGCTAAGATTTGCCAGTTAGGCCCCCTCTATACAAGAACCTGTTAACCCTAAAATTTGAAACAGTTTCTTGTTTTGTAAAATCTATATTAAAATATTCTGTACACTTGGGGAAAGAAGATAAGTCAACATTCAGTATCCTCTTTGGAGAGATGAGGGTCCTTATTACTCCAACTGCAATGTACATTGTAATGCACCGTCTGCAGGTTTACGTAAGGAATGAGCTGATTACCACTAAATACTCTTAGCTACAATGTATTCAATTCTTCAGGAAATAAGAACCTATTTAAGACCCTAAATAGCCTAAATTTGTGCTACTTACCATTTATGTAAGAATCTGTTTAGGCTAACTTGGGAAAATGCCGGGCTTCTAGTGGCGGGTTTTTTCTGTATGTTATGATGTTTTGCCACGAGAATCAAAGATAACCCTGACATAAAGGTTTAGTTTCATTTAAAATTACACTACAACTAAACCTCAACTAAATGTGCATGTCTTTGCCTTTCGATGGCCCGGATGGAAACGGATTGCAACTTGAAATATTTGCGCCAACGTTTTCAAGTTTAACAAACTAATCATAGTTTGTTTTCCCTCTCGTGTTGTTCATATCCTTAGCACTATCTAACTTTGTAGACTATCTCATGAATTTATGGGTAACGACCGAATCAAAGTGTTTTGAATTCAGCATGTTGCACATAAAATGTTCTAATATTGTTATTTCGGATTTGACAGGAAACAGGTGCCTTTGTGTATGGAGCCATGAGTTTTACCGATAAATTATCCAATGGAATCGCAGTTCAGCTGATCCAGATATTTCATCCTTGCAATTCTTTGGGAGAGTAAGTATATTTTTTTTGACAACTTGCCGTTGTTAGTGAAAGCGGGTGTATACTCATGTGACAATATAACTGTATAATAGTTTAGAGGATAAATCGTAAATTGTAGCCAGTTAGACAGTCCATTTACTTAGAAGACTTAGGCAGAGGAAGCTATGGTACATGAGACAACGTTGTACCCTTTTTTTTTACAACGGAGTGAAAAGCAGTTTGTCGAATACTGTTTCCAACATTGTTCACAACACTTTTGCGATTTTTTTAACATTGTGTGCACGTTGAGCTCAGCATTGTCAACAACAGTTTGTACGTGTAATACTTTGCAGAACACTGCACATTATTTGAATTTTGCTCACATTTTGCACAACACTGTAAACCACAGGTTGCAGACTATTATATACAATATAGTGCACAACATTTTTGCATAACTTACTATGATTTGATTTGTGCGACACTGGATAACAATGCGTGCAAGGTTGAGCGTATCATTGTCGACATTGGCTTGCACAACATTGTGTTTAACGTTTTGCAAACACTGCACAACATTGTGATAAACAGTTTGTATAACGTTGCGTGCAATGTAACGCATTGTGAATTCTGCTCACATTTTGCGCAACATTGTGAACCATAGGTTGCACATTGCTATGTACAATATAGTGCACAACATTTGTGCGACACTAAATAACACTGTGTGCAAGGTTGAGCGTAACATTGTCGACAATGGCTTGTACAACGTTGTGTTTAACGTTTTGCAAACACTGCACAACATTGTGATAAACAGTTTGTATAACGTTGCGTGCAATGTAACGCATTGTGAATTCTGCTCACATTTTGCGCAACATTTTAAACCACATGTTGCACATTACTATGTACAATATAGTATACAACATTTGTGCGACACTAAATAACCCTGTGTGGAAGGTTGAGCGTAACATTGTCGACAATGGCTTGTACAACGTTGTGTTTAACGTTTTGCAAACACTGCACAACATTGTGATAAACAGTTTGTATAACGTCACGTGCAACGTAATGCATTGTGAATTTTGCACAATATTTTGTGCAACATTATGAAAAACAGTTTGTTGCACAAATATGTGAGGTACAGTGCATTGCGTTTGTGCAAAATTTTACATGTATAGCATTGGGAGAAACGTTGAGCTCAATATTGTCAAACGAGTGAACAATATAGTGCCAATAATTGTGCAACATTGTATAACGTTGGGCGTAACTTACTTTGTGCGCAACGCTGTCGCAAATCTGGTGTGCAATGTTTGCACAAAAGACCGGCTACATACTTAACACTGCTTGAACGCAGCGCTGTACGCAACGAAATCAATGTACAAAAATGCGCAAAAGACTCTAGCATTTTGCACATCATTTGCATCATCATATGAAAAAGGGCATTAAATTTCGCGATTTAAGCGTTCTGCATTTCATTTATTTTTTTAAAAAGTCTGGCCCTTTAAAAATTTCTTGATAAACTGGAACAAGCAATGTATGCAATCTTTGCAAACCAAAGCTATTTCATAACTGAAGATACAAAATGGAGCTTACCAGTAAAACCAGTTAGGAATTTGCTTATTTGTCAATACATATCCTGTATATGCTGTGCTATTACAAGTTAATTTTGATTTGAATTTCCTATGCAGGTATTAAATCTCGCGAGGAATTTTTTTTCGCGGGTCTTTGATTTCGCGATTTTTTTCACAATTACGAACAACGCGAAAATATAAAGGGTTTAGTTTTATCGTTTGTCTCACGATTATCACTTTGATATTGTTTCGACCGCACACTGCAGGTCTTTATCAGGCGATAGTGTCGATTTACTGAGTCGAACTATTTGTACCACCGTGGTTCTTAGTGATTGGTGTATCACAAACCTCGCTCATGGTTGGTGGGTTTCGATCCAAAGCGTTGTTGGCACTGTGAGGGGAAGAAACCGATCCTTCAGCGATCGGCTGTGGTAGAGATCGGTTGCCATGTTGTCTTATTGTAGGCATCCACGCGTAAGGAATTTCAATTTCACTGTCCCTGATGATGTCTTACGACAACGCGAAAATGGTACTAATAAGGTACATGCGGTCAACATGAAGCAACAAAAATGACTTCTTGGACCCGTTGGTGAGTGTCCGTCTTCGAGAGGTTTTCGTCTTATAGAGTCAAAGACCCTAAAAAGGCAGAGACCATTATTCAGTTGAATGAAGTTGCTAGAACTGTATCTACGTGGGCTGACAATAATCGAATGTCACTTAACACAACCAAAACTAAATCTTTACTTATTACGACCCTGCAGAAACGCCGTACTTTAACCAGCTCGGCACTCAATGTCCAAATCGATGGTAGATCTATTGAGCAAGTGGACTATGCCAAGATGCTGCGTTATGATAGACAGTGACATGTCTTGGAAGCATCATATCGATACAATCTGCTGCATCATTAGCAGTAGGCTTTCTCTTCTCCGTCGCATCAAACCTTATCTTAACTTTGATTCTGCTTTAAGATTCTATAATTCTTGTGTTAACAACTATTTAATTTATTGTTCCGCTGCCTGGGGTAACTTGTTCCCACCATCTCCTCTTACGACTGCTTCGTCTTCAGAAGCGTGCTGGGCGTATGCTCCTTGATGCCGACCTCTCTCAGGCTTCTATTTCTTTATTTTTAAAACTTAACTGGATTCCCGTTTTTGATCTTATTAAATACAGGAAACTTTTTCTTCTATTCATCGTACTCCTTAATCTGAATGCTCCTAAATGTCTCAGGAACAGATTTCAATTTCTTTGTGATTCGCGTGGACCTCTGGGTCGTTTTACAAGAGCCTCTCTCTACGACTTAAAGGTGCCATGCCCACATAGCAACTCTGGGAAACGCACCTTGGCCTATACTGCTACTAAACTTTTTAATGACCTCAGTTCCGACTTAAAAGAGTTTTCTATTTCTTCTTCTCCACTGATATTTAAATTTCTTCCCTCCTCTCCTAAGTCTAAATTACGAAGTCTGTTTTTCTCACGCCTATCATCGGCCCCAGCACTTGGAGGATCTATTGTGCTCGACTTGCCGCTATTCTATTCATTGTCACTGTTTTTTATAGTCCTACTACAACCACTATTATGTCTTTTTATTTATATTTATGTATATATGTATACATGTTCATTTATAGTACATATTTTGCCCCCCCTTCGTCGATTTATATATTATTCATTACGTGTTTATAGCCTATTCTACTTTAAATATTGTCTCTTTTGTGTGTATATATATATTTATAAATTTATTTGTTTTTAGTCTTCTAAATTTATTTATCTATTAATCTATTTTTTTGAGGGCCGTAGGTTAGAAAACTGTAAAAGGTTATTGCGCGTCCCTCTTTAAATAAAGTTATTGTATTGTATTGTATTGTATTGTATTGTATTGTATTGTATTGTATGGCATTTTACTGTCGGGGTCCATGCATGGGACTTTTTTACTATACTTATTTAGCTGGATCTCATAGGAAATCAACGAGTAATGGCAGTATGCAATGCCGTATACAGAACTGATGTGGCTCCAGCTAAACGAATGGTGCTTTTAATGTTGCTTGATCTTTCTTGCTTTTTCGTTTTCATCCCCATAAAAGCAAAGTTAATGCCATGGGATGGAGAATAAGGAACTCCTCGATCATGGCGTGAAACTCGTCTCTTGTCGCCACCTAAATTCTTTCCTTCATGAAAGGTTTCACCACAAAAGGATGAAAAACTATGCCCAACTCACTGTGCGAAGAAAAAAATGTTTTGGAAGTCGTTCAGTTAAGGTTGATGTTGATAAAAACAACTGTCCGATGTGAATGTGTTGGCTTCGAATCTGAAAGTATTTGGTGTGCCACGCCTTGACCACGCATCGCTTGGTTTCCTTGGACACGGAAACGTGACATTACACGTTGTTGTTGTTGCTTCTACAGTAGCCACAATGGCACCTCGTCTCCGTGAAGTTATGACCCTGAGATTTTCCACCATTGAACTTTCCTAACATGGCGTTTTCTTGTAATGTCACGCAGTTTCGACACAAACGGAATCGATGATTGCTAAATGCCGTTGAAGATTCATACTGTCCGCTATGAATTAACGTCAACTTCAACTCTTGTAATGTCTTAGACTTTCGATTTCATTTATTCTTTCGGTCACATCATAGACAGCTCAGGTCAGGCCTCAGAGCTTAAAGGCCCTTAAACTAGGCAGGTCAGGATAATAAGGATAATTGTTATTTTATTTAGTTATTATTTTTTGTAATCTTGATGCTATTGACTCTGCTTGGCTGCACTTTGCTTGTAACCGCAAAACATACCTCACTGCTTCACAATATGCCTTCCTTTGCTATTTGCTGATCGTTGCTGCTTTAACCGGCGCGTTTTTTGACTTCAATACATGTTGCATTTTGCTATTCTCATCCACTGATGTGGTTTCAGCCATGGAGGTATGCACAGTCCAGGGAGTGGAAACACCACAGCTTTGCCGACTGGAGTCGGTCATCATCATCATCCACACATGTACGAGTGTGAAATCAAAGCTTATTTTTACTTAATAGTTATTTTAACTTTTCCTCCGAACTTCCATGCCAGAATGATTTAGAACTGTAGTGTTGAAGGAATAGATCTATGAAATTGTTTCAAAACATTTTCATGGGCGTAGCTATTTGTCCAAAAATAACCCTACGTACTATAAAAACAAAACGAAAATAGAGGAACATTGCAAAGAAAAAAAAGCGAGGTGAATTAAGCGGTTGCTGAAGAAAATGCGAAGGCTCTAACTGTGGCCTGCAAAACACGGTCCTACGTTCAATTTTGCGTTATGAATCGCATACTGATTCATAACGCAAAGAAAATCGAGTTACCCGCGTGAACACGATTTGGAAAACGTAGTTGGGGAAAATTTGGAAAGATGTGCGTATTGCTAGAAAGTTTCCCGCTACACCCCTGAAAACTCGCAGTTGTCTTTTTTTAGGGACCGTTCATTTTTTTTTATTAGGTAGCGGTTGGGTGGAATTTGAGGGGGGGGACATGAAAGAAATGTGGCTGACCAGGAGCATTAAATAAGCCACTCGTCTCTATTGAGCCCCCTCCCCCCCATCAAAAGTGCTTGGAAAAAATAAGCCCCCCGGAGGGCTTAATAGAGGATTCACGATTAATAGAGTTTTAAATAACAAAACTGGACCATTGTTTGAGAATTTAATTTATGAGAAGACGCGTTTAAACTTTTTATTAAGTAGCAAATAGCGTGACAATAACCCCTTTAATTGTTCAAGGTCGATTTAATTAATTAGCTCCATGGTTCTTTTCAGAGCATGTTGCCCTAAATGTGATCTGTACTACAGAGAAGTTATGGTATTTGTTACCGGTGGAGCCACTATTATTTCTCTGCTGGTTCTTTTAACGATGCTTAAGACAAAGATTGGTGAATTTAAAGGTGAGTTTAAAGGTTAGTGAATTTTTCACCATTCACTGTAACTGAATTCATGCCAGTCCTTGGTGCAAACTTAAGAGTAGGCGAAGCATCGTGTGAAACTGAAAAGCAGTAATAACTCGTGACACTATTTTGTGGAAAGCGGTCAATATAACTTCAAGAATATAACGTAAACCTTTCAACCTTTTGCTGTGATTTCTAAGCTGCAGATGTCACTTTTGGAACGAGGAAACTGGGGCGAGTTATTTATCGCAAAGACTTCTGGGACTGTCACTAGGGACAGGGGAAAAATTGACCAATCGCTGACCGATTCTAACGATCCCAGAACCAATAGTGGGACTCGTTTCGGTTCCAGTCCCATTCTCGTTTATAAAGTGGTGAATCGCTTTTAGACAAGTTTCCAGTGAAAGTCAAGTGCTATTCGTTTGCATTCTCTGTTGAAAGGTTTTATCTGTGACAGTAGAATCAAACACAAGAGTGTATCTTTAATTTTAACTGCTAGAATATTCATCTGCCTTTCTAACCACGAAGGGTCCGCTGGTACTACCCGGCCATTTTAAAATCACCCGTAACTGATGGCGGTAATATTTCCTTCCTTGAATCTGAAATTGAAAAGGAGTTCACCTGTCGCCGTTCCTCGCCCGTTGATTGATTCTCAACAGTAGTAAGAGGCCAGTTAAGCGCCTTTTGCTTGTGAGGGTAATCTTCATCTAAGGCTCATCTTCAGGGCTCGAAGGTAACATTTTAGTGCACTAGGAAAGTTTTGCTAGTAGGTTTTTTTCCCACTAGCAAACTGGTGAGACCACTTGCAAATTCTTTCCCTTTGGACTGAAAACGAACTATCAGTAAAGCCGATATCTCGAGACCACCGGAAACTCATTTGTAAACGGACTTACTGTTTCCTTCTTGCGTTCGAACAGCTTTCTCCAAATGTTTGGGAGACAAGGATGATTCTAACTCGCAAACGTTTGCTAGTGGATATTTTTTTCACTCGCAGATTATCAAAATCACTCGCATTTTGCGAGTTTGCGAGCGTTAATTTCGAGCCCTGAACTTGTGAAACACGTTTAACGAAAAGCAATGTTTACTGTTTCCTCTGGCCTTTCTTTTTGTTATCATCCTGTGATTTTTCTGTACACTGGCTTTAGGGGATAAGAAATGTGCGTTTAGCCATCCCTCCCCTTCCTCTTCCCTCTCTTTACGTTTGTAACCCTTGCAGAATGACAGGTTATGAAATGGATGTTTAGAAAAATGCATGCTGAGGACCGCTTGCTCGATATTCTTACCTGTTTCCTAACTATTGCAATTTCTTATTGCAAGATGGCGCTGTGGTAGACGTGACCGTTCAAGATGCGCTCCTCAGTAAGAGTGCCTCAGTTAGCACAAGCTGCTCGAAGACAACTGGATCATCCAAAAGCCCGTGTCTAATGTATGAGCCCACGACCCCTCCCAAATACGGGTCATTGAATGGCACGTGTCAGAATATACCATGCTCAATACAAGAGGATTATTCTAGCTACGATGAGACCACGCCGTCGCCAAAAACGTCCCGGTGACGTTGTGAAGAAGATGATACCCCTAGTACTGTGCTGAATGTAATGGGCAGTCAGGTGTTTTCTCAGTTAACGATCCCCTGATATAGAAGCAGAAACTCGGCTTGCCCACCTGTGAAAGGTGATTGTGGTTGAGCGAGGTGAACTAAAGACTGGTTCTGTTCCATTGTTCACTCCTGCTGTAATGAAAGGATTTCTTGACTATACAAGCTCAGCTTGTCAGTCCGCTTTAAGAAAGGCGACTGTGTTTGAGCGAGATGAACCGAAGAACTGATCCACCGCCCTTTGATCCCGGAGGCCTTTTTCAACGAAATGCCAATAGCTGTTAAAACTGAGCGCTGGAAACGATCCCCTGATTGCAGAACTCACTTTGTCCGCCTTAGTATAAAGGCAACCACGTAGATTTTCCTAGTTGTTAGAACGCCGTTCTTAACAAGCAGCAAATAATTCTGAAAAGAAACGAAAATTTTTTATACTATTGAAACGGAGAAATATAAATACTTGTTTTTAGCTGGTCTTGTTAACGGTCGTTCGATTGTCCGTTACCAAGAAAAGGCAAAGCAAGAGAGAAAACGAAGAAGGTAACAAATTCCATTTTGAAAAAAAAAAACTAAAACTAAAATAAAATGTATTGACAAGTAATCGTTAGCAAATAACGGTGCTTCGTGAAATAATTCATTTGAATCATTACACTTCACTATTTCATCCGTATACTGAAAAGCAAGAACAGCTTCGCGCGACAGTGTGCAAAAAGTGGAAGAATATTTTTTTTACCTCAAGGTGAAAAAGAAGACACTTTTCAAGGACATACTGAGCTGTTATCTATCGAAATTAAGTTGTCTCAGTCAGTGTTACTGAACATTGAAACTTGAATATTTACATATTTTAAATTAAAGATATTTCCTGACAGAATGCTAAAATGTTAATTTATTTATACGTAAAAAATAATGGGGAACTGGAAAAAAAAATTGTTTAGTTCTCTAAATCAAAGAGAAATAGTATTAATTAGCTCTTTTGTCACGAGAATTGTAGGTGATAATGATAAAGACTTTCGTGAGACTACTTCAATGCTGTAAAATTTTATGTAAACATTTTAAAGAAATAAGCTACTTTTTGAATAAAATGAACTTGACGATCTCAATTTGCAAGCTTCCCTCACCTTATAACGTTGTACTGCAGCTTAGTGAGAAATACCTTAAAATGGCCACGGATAAGCAAGAATTGCAGACTGCATTATGATACCAATAATGTTGTGGAGCGTGGCCCTTTGTATATCGCAAATTGTGCAAGCGAAAATTAACTCTCACTGATTCCTTGTACTATGGCTGACGTTCATTGTCGGTTGAGATTCTAGTTTTTAAAATATATACTCATATTCCCTGTTTCACCATCTAAGCTTTGGTGTTACGGGGTTTTACATTTATATGTGCCCTCCATGGTCTCTTTGCCGCTATAGTCGACCATAATCACCCGCGAACTGCCTCTATCTGATTATCAGACCTTATAAATGAGTCGAAAGAACAACAGTACATCTAGCCCGGAGGTTCTTTGCTTAGTTTGCCTTTTGTGGTTCCCTGATTCCCCGGTTATACAATGGCTCAGCCTAGTTCCTAGGCGTTCTCGGCTCGACAACGGGGCAAGAGAGAACGCCTAGGGACTAGGCTGATAATGGCTGAAGCTGACTGGGAAGTTCCGGGATGATCTCTAGCTCTTACTACTCAGAGTTAATCGTGTCTTTCACAAATTGTCATTCCTGCATGAAGGAAACAGATTCGATCGGTTAACGACCAGTTTGCTTCAAAATAGCTTACTCAGTCTTCTCACTCTTCAACAAAGTGGCGATAGTGGTGAGATCAGTTGCGGACTTAGCAAGTAAAAAGAGCGCTGTTTCGACTGCAAAAGATTTCTGCGTAGTAATTGTCTGAACGCTCAGGAGCCGGTTTGAGATGATGCGCATGCGTTCCCAAGTTGTCAAACCAGTCGAACAGTTTGAAACGTTTGAAGTAGTTCCCCAAAGAAATCTTAGGAACTGAACTAACCAAAACTAATATAGGGGTCCAGTGAGACTTGAGTGTTAATTCGAAAGGCGGCAGGTGTTTTTGAACTAAGTATTCCGTGTGTTACTCTAAAATCGAGATTTCTTATTTTAAGAAAAAAATTTAAAACAAATCATAGAATAAGATTTTGTTCTCGTAAATTCAAATCTACCTGTTTAAATTACAGAGAAAAGAGTTCTTATCCTATGATTTGTTTTAAATCAGTCTCGTAAAATAAGAAAACGTTTTCTTAAACTGAGAGATTCGGAGCAATCTCCATTTTAGAGTGTGTGCATTTATTTCATTCCGTGATTGCGACCGAGTTTGATTACTGAATTACAACCGGTTCAAAGTTATTCACTACTGCAAGCAGTTGATAGGTTGAACGTTAAACATGAATTTCGATCGAAAAGAGTAAAGCAATGCTGTATCCTGTAGATATTTCCACACGATATTTCTTCGTTTGCCCTTTGAAAATCCTGTTTTACTCTTTGCTTCTCAAACTCATTAATAATTCATTAAGAAAATACAAAGGAAATTAATGTTTAATGAGTGTTTGGAAATCGGATGAAACACTGCTTAGTATTTGCATCCTTAATTTCTCCTTCAAAAATGATTTTGTTTGAGAAGAAATATCAAACATTCGACACAGTGTTTCATCACCAGATGAAACACCTCGAAGTTCGTCAAAAATACTCCGCTGCGCGTCGTATTTTCAACTCTCTTCTCGGTGTTTCATCTGGTGATGAAACACTGCATCTCATGTTTGATATATTACATGAAGTAAAGCAAAGTAGTAGTGACGTCACTGGACGGCACTGACGGCCGGTCGATTCAGACGTCACTGAGGGAGCTAATAACGACTCGAAGTAATGGGATGAAATTCAGGCTAATAAAAAGGCTTCTTACAAAAAAAAACCAAAATAATGATTAAAAAAACCAGTAGGACACTAGGCCTATACATTACTTACTCTTTTCTCAAGTTTGACTCGTAGCAGGTGGTCAAACTATCAAAACGTTTTTGTGTTAAAACAAGAAAGCTTTTTTTCGTTTATTTACTATATCTTTATTAATTTTCTGGTCGCTTATTGTAGTAGGCAACTCGTGTTGATAATCATGTTTTCGTAGTGACGATAGCCTGAGATCCCTATTATCCTTCTATGTCTAGAGATAGTTATCTACCTTCAACTGAAAGACACACGATCCATTAGTAAAAGTAGCAAATAAAGATCATAAACGAAAGGACAGCATTTTTAAGTGTAACCGCCATTTTATTTTTGATTTTAATTTATTTATTTTCAATCTAAAGCGGCTTCATTTGACCAACAATTCTCATTACAAGAATTGCGCACTCCTTCCTTACCCAAAATCGTTAGTTTTGATTTTTAATATATATGTCGTGTTATTTAATTTATTGAATGGCATTACAGCAAAGTGCTCTACTCTATCTGACTTTTGGGACGCAAGTCACCTAATTTTCTTTTTCTTGCAAAGGATAACTGGGGCCACCTTCCAATAACGTGTAACATCGCAAGGTAAGTCGTTCCACTTGCCTCCATGGCGGTGTGACGAGCCAAACATGTTTCCACACTTTTCGCTCACGTTGTTTGGTTCGCCGCGTGCCCAAGTCGTGTAACCTTTCGCCAGTGGAGTGTCATCAATCCAGTAGAACTTGCTGTCCGCCTTGCGGACAAAACCAAGCCACACACCCGATTTGGTGATGGTTTTCTGTTTCTTGAGCAAGGCGAATATGAAGTTATTCTCAGCAGCTGATATTATTATAGCGAGGTCTCCTCCAAGCAGCTGACATGTTCGTCGAGCATCGCTCCATTTCGGGGTTCGAATGTCGATGATGAGGTAGCTGAAGTTGCCGTAGTAAACCCAACCATCTTGCGAACAAACTGAAAGGAAGAAAATTTTCCAGTTGATTAATAAGTCTCAGACATTAAGTCGCTCTAATAATAAGCCTCGAACAATTAGTCGCTCTTTTAATTAACTGAAAGTTTGATTCAATTGCAAGAGTTTATACCTTTAGCGCTTGTCGATTTCTGGTACAGCTGGTCAATTTTGTACTTCATCTCGGTGAGCAGTTTTCTATCAGATTTTCCTAGGCCCCAGTTGTTGATGTTAAATGTTTGATCGATCGGTTGAGGCTTTTTGTGAGCTGTAAGCGCGGGTGATTTGCTGGAGTCGAAACTTTTGGGTTTTCCATTGGTAAAACTGCTTGAAACAAGGATAAAAACAATGACAATGAAACTTGATTTTCCAGACATGGTTGACGTCCTCTCAGGTCCAAAACAGTATGTAGCCCGCCCCTCGAGAAATGAAAGTTTTTGTTGAGTTAGTCCACTTGATGAATCATCAGTATCTCCAGGCTATCTTCAGGCGCATTGCGGCTGACGTATCACATGCAGGCTGTTTAAACAAGAACAAATTTCTCGTCGCATTATATCGAAATAATGATCATAATAAAAGAAAATTTAATAAGTTATGGCTATTTGAGTCAGTGGTAGACAATTGGTTTAATATGATCTAATATGATAAAGATATTGTAATGTGTCGGGGCGGTAAATCTCTCACATCTTGTGCTAAAAGTCCAAGAAATTGCCACGATGTTTACATGGAGTGGGGGACACAAAACAAAAGAAACCTACCCCACTAGACCGGGGTCCCCCACTCCATGTAAACAGGGTCTAAAAGTTGCCTTTGCCTCTAATAATGATCCATTGTTAGTATTTTTAGAAAAGAACGACTTGAACACTTAGTCATAGATTCGATGCCCAAAATACTGTTCAGTAGTGTTCAACACATCGATCAAAAAAGTGTGAGACATCTATCAATCATCGGTTTTTCATTCTTCGCATTGAAGTTGGGTTGCTGTTTTGCATTCAGTAGTTGTGTACAGATTAACTACAATGCAGTCATTCAGGGAAGAACGCATAAATTAAACTCGCATTGTTAGGTATAATAAGAAATTCGATCCGTTGAGTCTTATGAATGTCACAGAATGTCACATGAATTATTTTCTGTTATTGGTTTTACCTGTTGGGTACTGATGTAAAAAGGATGTATTTAATAAAGCTTACTGCAAGGGTAAAATTTGTCAAGCGGCAGTGATTGAAGTCATGTGTGTATCGAACAACCCGTGCAAATGTCACAATTCGCCTTTCATGCCTTGAAGTATAAAAAAGGCTGAATATTTTTGCATTGTAAAATCTATTCATTCAGGGCAATACGTCGGAGTAAAAATTTAGAGGAGAATGACTGTGATAGGAGAAAAAAGAAAGTATTCTTAATGTTCTCTGAAAGAAATCGAAATAGAAATGAAGTATCAGCTTATTTTTCTGTTGTGTCAGTATACTTTTCGTTATTCCGCCTTTTTGGCGAGTTATAAATTATTCGAGTCGCACTTCCAGTTATAGATTGCCTCTCTTATTTTGTTTATATTTAAAGCTGTTCGTTTTAAAATTTTAAAATCAAAACGGTTATAAAACCCCCTGCGAAGCAAAAAGACCACACAAATACTGGGCAAGTCTTTGATTTCTTATGAAGTATACTCCGTTCGATTGTGCTATTTAGACACTCATAGAGGCTCGAGAGGTCGATAGGTTCATCGACAGTTCGTCCAATGTCAGTCCACATTTCCCGCGCAAAGTACCTTTTTAACCGTACAATAAGTGCATAATGAAAATGCAATCAAGATTTGATATCGTTAAAATGTAATATATTTAAAGTGATAATAGTACAAAATTGCACGAGAGATTGTTGTTACAATAACAAGAAATTGTATCAAGTGGAAAATGTCGGAGTTAGCCGGCATAAGGGTCGACTTCTTCACCATCCACTCCCCATTTTCGATCTTCCTTTTTAACAGCCGTGAAAGACGCTGGTGTGTTTACGTCTGATTACGGGCTCAATAATGTGAATTGAGCCCGAAAAAGTTATTCACGATATATTCACCACATTCACACATGCCATAATGTACCTTGTTTACCCTACAAAATTTTACATAACCATTGTCTTGGGTTTCTCTTGGGACGACTGTAATACCCAGGAGAAATTGGAAACAATGGTTATGCAAAATTTGGGAGTAAAACAAGGTGCATTGTGGTCTATGTGAAAATGGTGAATTAGCCCAATAATGTTTATTAGATAGTCTGTTCCAAGCGTTCAGATCGTGGGAACAGAACACTAAGGCGTAGCTGCCGGGGGTTTTATGGTGACAGTCGAACAAGCCTCTTCCCTCCTCTCCAGTCAAGAAATCTTCAAGTATTGCAGACAAAAAAATTTGTCCATTGCGAAAAACAAATAAACAAACAATCATGGTGTAACTTATTTCTTAGTTAAATAATTGACTGAGAGAAGATGTAGGATATGCCTTGTATGATTTTTAAAAAGAAAAAAAAAGATCATTTTTCTCAAGTTTGATTTCGAAAGGCGTTTTCTTTTAGGCATGAAATTTGTCGCCTTAGTTTATGAGACTTGCTGACTTCTCTATAAAGCTTCATCAGTGATTGTCGCAGTGAAAATTTAGTAAAACGGTAAAAGGAAGCTGAAATAATGATTAGCTTTTAAACCAAGTGCAGTGAATACAAGTCGTGAATGTCGTATCTTTTGTATCGAACTGAGTAGGGTCTTTCCTATAATGAGATCTCTTGTAGCTAATTTTTTTATGTCAAGTAGTTTTTGTTTTCCTTTTGTTTCTGGGTATGGTAATTTATGCTTAGAAAGTTGAAACAAAAGAAAAATATTAATTACCTGAGGTAAAGAATTAACTACAACATATCCGTGGCAGAATTTTTACCGGTAAACATTGTAGAATATTGTACATCGTAAAAGCGAATCAAGTTCGACGTCTGAATCAACCATCGAACTTTTATCATTTGAGTCGAGCCAAATAGCTATCAAGTTCGGCTCATGAAAAGTTCGGCATTTGAACTGGTCCTAAGCCCTCTTTCTCCCCAGCTACCGTGCGTTTATCGCGTCAGTTTTCGCGTTTTCTAGGAGAAGCCGGAAACAGGCTACTATATCCAACCCCCTCCCTTTTTCCTTCCCCCCCATCCCTTTCGTTCGCTTCCTCGGAGGCTAACATAAATAGACCATATGACAGTAGATTCGCTAAATATTAAGAGTAGCAGCACCTAAATATGGAACCAAAATATAACAATGGCAAGGGCTGCATCGAGGAAAACACGCACGAAGACCTCAGCAAATGTTTTACTAAATGTGAACACGAATAGAGTAAATTCCTTCAAAGCGCCAAAAAAAAAAAGGTTGCAGTATAGACATAAACAACCTAAACTAGACCGCAAAACGAAATGGAAGGAAACGAGAAAAAACGAGGCTGCTTACCAAATACTGAGGACATTTACAACGTTTGGAGTTCGGGGAAACGAGAAAAAACTGACATAGATTAACGAACACTATAAAGACACGTTAAAAACACTGCCTTAAAAAGGGCGAGATAACAAACTATATACGACCAAATTTACATACGGCGCGAAAAGAAAGGAGAATAATTAGCAAATACCAGAGTGAGAAAAAAAAACGAAGCACGATAGCGAGTAAGTAAAAACGAAAAACAAAAGGAAAATTTTGCTATAACACCTTTTTTACCTTGAACAGGAGTAACCAATACTTAATTTCTCTTCTTTATTGCCCTTTATTCTCTTATCAGTCTAATATAAGAATTCATTTCACCTTAATTTGAGTATTTCATATTTATACTAGACTTTGAATCTTATGCTGCCTTATGGACGTGAGCCATTTAGTGATTTGTTTTTCTTGCAAAGAATAACAGGGGAAGACGTGAAATACGATGGACTGTTATCACAGTATACGTCGTCCCATTTGCCCGCTCCGCCTCCTGTACCATACATGTGCGCGCACTTTTGGCTGACGCTATCAGGTTTTCCAGTTAACCAAGCCGTGTATCCGTTCGCCATAGGGGTGTCATCAATCCAGTAGAACTTAGTGTCGGCTTTGCGAACCAAACCGAGCCAAACACCCCAATTCGTGATTGTTTTCTGTTTTTTGATCAAGTCAAATATAAAGTTATTCTCAGCAGCGGATCTTACGATTGCAAGGTCTCCTCCAAGTATCTCACATGTTCGTCTAGCATCGCTCCATTTCAGTGTTGGAATGTCGATGACGAGGTAACTGAAGTTTCCGTAGTGAACCCATCCGTCTTGCGGACAAACTGAAAATTATTGGGTCATATTATAGATTATTCAGTTTTTAGCGATAAAACAATAAGCCTCGTGAGTGTCAGCCACTGTCCGATTTGAAAAACTAAAAGCCGACGGCTAATGCAACAGGGTACCCAACGACTGTTTCCTTTAAAATATCTGTTCGGAGAAGCAAATATTGCCAATAATTTTCTATTACTTGAGGACGACTAAAAATTGTTCGTTAACTGTTCCATTAATGTACAATTTTCGAAGCTTATCTAATAAATCCCCTACGATTTTCTGAAGTTTAATTTTCACACTTACTTCCCAAGTTAGGCTATTTTTATGAGAAAAAGGGAAACCTAAAATTTTCGGATTCAAAAATGGGATGGAGAGAGTAATCAGAAAATGTCTCACTTTCGTAATACGTCAAATTGCATCTAAGATTTTCGGGAAAATTATACTCAAACCCTCAAGCCCCCGAAAAGACTCTGGTTGCCCGAGGATGGCCGAGCAGATACAAATTTTATAGCGTCACTTAAAATAAATTTCTACAGCTCTTAAAAGTACTCTGGATAGCCTAAAAAGTGTTTTCAATGTATTTAGGAAGAAACTGTCTTTGGGTGCCCCCGATGCAAGAAAATTATTTACCTGTTGTGGCTGATTTTTCATACAGGGAGTCGACTTTGTATTTGATCTCACTCAAAAGTTTACGATCAGCGTCTTCGAAACCCCAGTTGTTGATATTAAAGGTTTGAACCATCGGATTACGTGGTTTATTACTTGTGAGCGACGCTGTGTTGGAAACGGCACTTTTAGGATTGATCTGTGCAATGATTAAAGCAATGAAACGGACGAAATTCCATTTTCGATTCATGGTTGATTTCTTTCTCGGATCCAATGAAGAGGTCGTCGCCTTTAAGGTGGCTCCGTAATTAATACTAGAGCATTTTACTGTGACAAATTTTCCGTCATAACTTTTTGGTTTTTAACGCGATGGCTGCGAAACTTTGCAAAGAACAACAGATATCATTCGGCAATAATAAGAAATATTCCGATTTCATTGATGGTAAATATTTCTTGAGAAATTAGCGCTTAAAAGGACCCTACTATTCAAAGAAAATCGCGTCTAGTAAAAAATTTTGCTGATATTTTTTACTGAAATTTCTGGTATCGGCTTTAATTGATATAATAAATATGCCAGAGGAATTTCAGAAAAATCGTTGGAGCAGAAGTCCGTAACTAAAACTCGCTCAAAATTCAGCTGTGAAATTGTTTTGGAATTTCAAAACTAAATTACTATCAGGAAGAAGGAGCCACCAGTTTGAATTTTCGGGACAAGTAAATTCAACGTTTGCTAATTCTTAAAACAAAAGCCGATTGCCTATCGCGCTATTCTTTAAAATGTACTTTTTAGTTTTAGAAGTACTATAAATTGCTCCAAACCTTGCTCTGAAGTAGAATGACTTGTTCTTCGACAGTTTTAAAATATCCCCTGGCAGCTTTGGCTCAAACTCCTGCTGCATACATTTTGATGCATTGCAATGCATTTTCAACGACTTTTACTGCTGTTCGTTGCTTCCAACTCAGGAAAAAAGTATTGAGATTGGACGCTACCTCGTATCAGAGCTCAGATAGAACTGTCCAGCACCTTTGTTTATGACTACAAAATGAGCACGAGCGGCAGTTCTGCGAGGAATTCGCACCTCACTCAGGGGGGACGAACGACAATGATGACCATGCCTGTGAAGCGAATAACATCACAGTGCAAAATAAAATTATCGCAAAAATACTGCCCGTGAATAAATTTATAACTCTGAAATTTTTGTCACTCCTTCCTTCAATGAATGGGTATTTTTTTCTTCATTATTATGTTTTGCTCTGCAATACATGTTTATACAGATCGGTTCACAGACATAGGCATCATTGTCATTCGTCCCCCCTGGCTGAGGTGCGAATTCCTCGCAGAGCTGCCGCACGTGCTCATTTTCTGGTCATAAACAAAGGTGCTGGACAGTTCTATCTGAGCTTCGATACAAGGTAGCATACAATCCCAATACCTTTTTCCTGAATTGGAAACAACGTAAAGCAGGAAAAGCCGTTGAGGATGCATTGCAATACATCAAAATGTATGTAGCAGGAGTTTGAACCAAAACTGCCAAGGGATATTTTAAAAATGTCGAAGAACAAGTCATTCGACGTCAGAGCAAAGTTTGGAGCAATTTATAGTGCTTTTAAAACTGAAAAGTACCTTTTAAAGAATAGCACGATAGGCAATCGGCTTCTGTTTTCAGAATTAGCAAACGTTGAATTTACTTGTCCCGAAAATTCAAACTGGTGGCTCCTTCTTCCTGATAGTAATTTAGTTTTGAAATTCCAAAACAATTTCACAGCTGAATTTTGAGCGAGTTTTAGTTACGGACTTCTGCTCCAACGATTTTTCTGAAATTCCTCTGGCATATTTATTATATCAATTAAAGCCGATACCAGAAATTTCAGTAAAAAATATCAGCAAAATTTTTTACTAGACGCGATTTTCTTTGAATAGTAGGGTCCTTTTAAGTGCTAATTTCTCAAGAAATATTTACCATCAATGAAATCGGAATATTTCGTATTATTGCCGAATGATATCTGTTGTTCTTTGTAAAGTTTCGCAGCCATCGCGTTAAAATCGAAAAAGTTATGACGGAAAATTTGTCACAGCTAAATGCTCTTGTATTAATTACGGAGCCACCTTAAGCGAACATCCCAAGGAATACACTAGTCTCTAAAGATGATCCCTGACGTACTGATCAGTCCGCTTAGCCATGTGTGTATCACACAACCCACGCGAATGTCACAATTCGCCTCTCGTGCCCTAAAAAAAAGCCGCATGTTTTGACAGTAAACATGAAATAGCACGAGACACTAGGTAACTCTAAGATTTTACTGTCCCGACTGCCAAACTTGTATTTGATAAACCTGCACGAGCGCGGACCAGTGCTAGTGGCATAACAGGCATACGAATCACGAAATTGACGAAGAAAGAGCCAAACCAAACTTTTGGCCAGAGTAAGTTTTTGACCGAAAAGAACGGGGTTGGCAATAATATTTCTCGCCACATTGAGTAAATGATTGCCAGTCTTGAAAATGATGTCGCCATCGCTAAAGAGAAACTATCTGGAACAGCTGAACGAATGATCCCTATGGTTCACGAACTCGAGCGGGGTGGTAGTAATAACCGCCCTAAAGAACACGCGTGCGCCCAGAATAAAAGAAATAGATGGCGTGAAGAAAAAGTCCCAGTTTTTAGCGAAGCAGATGAAGAAAGCAGCAGAGTTTTGCGAATGAACTGTCAAGGCTCGGAGGAGTTCATGCTCAGATGTCGGATGAGAAGCAGAGTGGATTTAGACAATTCTAACTTGAAGATGATTTTTTTAATGTTTTTAATGTGTAAAACTTAAGGGCGATGGTTAAAATTTTAGAAAACTGGAAAATATTTGATTTGGAAGTTATTGAAAATTTTAAACATAAAGTTAATAATTAGTACGCCATTTTCATGCCGTCAGGAAAACCACTTACTGCCTTCGCGAAACTAAGTTATGGGAGGCGAGATTTTGTCATCAGCTCTAAACAACCGAAACTGAGAAAAGGAACGATGACAAACCGGCACTTTAATGATACTCACTTCAAAACTCAGAAAAGAAAGAAAGCCATTCCTCTTTACAACATTAAGACAACAAACTTAAAGGCAAGGAGGAAAGAAGTGAAAGAGGTCCGGTCCAGCTAGGGAGCTTACCCTCCTAATCACACCTGTCCAACAAACTCGCTAACTTGAGCCTTTCTAATTTGCTAGCAAAGGAACTGACGCGGGTGCGACCTGGGTAGAGGAAAAGAAAAAAAGGGGGAGGGGAATAACTAACCTGATAAGGTTAGGCCTACACACACTTGCGTAAACAACAGCTAAACAAAACAACAACAACAAAACATATCATGTGGAAAAGGGAGGGTAAGGCTGCGTGCAAACGGACGCAACGCTGTTGACCAACAACTCCCAACATTGTTGGATGCTACATGTTGCGTCCGTTTGCACACCCTGTTGCATGTTGTTGGATGTTGTTGCGTGTTGTTGCGCAAAGTTTTAAACCTGTCAAACCTTTCAGCCAACAACTCCCAACATTTTTTTTGTTCCTCGATCGCCGAAGCGTAGCGCAACAATGTTGGATCCGTTTGCACAGCTCTTCCAACATTGTTGTTGGGGCCACGCACGCTCATTACGCATGGTTTACAAAGACTTAAGGGTTGTATCCTTCCCACGATGCACTGCAGGTCCCAACATTGTTGGGAGTTGTTGCATCCGTTTGCAGACCACTGCCAACACGCACGCAACAACTCCCAACATTGTTGGCGCAACAATGTTGGGAGTTGTTGCATCCGTTTGTAGACCACTGCCAACACGCACGCAACAACTCCCAACATTGTTGGCGCAACAATGTTGGGAGTTGTTGCATCCGTTTGCACACCACTGCCAACACGCACGCAACAACTACCAACATTGTTGGCGCAACAATGTTGGGAGTTGTTGCATCCGTTTGCACACCACTGCCAACACGCACGCAACAACTACCAACATTGTTGGCGCAACAATGTTGGGATTTGTTGCATCCGTTTGCACCCAGCCTAACACCCGCTAGAACCCATCCTAAGTACGGGTTAGAGGGAGTCGTTTATATTTCCGCTCTGGTCACGGCAAGGCTGGAAAGGCTGGGGAAAAAGCCCAACAAAAAACATAAGGTGTGACATACAACCAAACTCTTTCAAAGGTCGAAACACATGACCAGTCCGAACAGACGATCAAAATCTTCGCCAGATCGAACACACGACTAAAAATCTTTCACAGGTCGTGCACACTGTCAAAATCTGTCTAAGGTCACGGGAAACAAGACCAAATCATTTTTAAAATCGAACGCACGACCAAAATCAGTCTTTCTGAGGTCATTAACGGACGACCAAACAATCATTCTCTAGTCGAACCCGCGACCGAAAAT